TGGTTTTTTTCAATGCGGCTAGACTCCAGCTGCACCGAAAAAACCACACGGCATTTGGATGCTTTTTTGCAGCGAAAATTACTGACCTCCGGCTTTGCTTGCTCCGCTTCTCCAATGCACCGCTGTGGCCATCAGCGATTGTTGCACATGCATGCGATGTTGCGCATGTGCAATAAGGACTGACTGGTTAGGGAACAGCGCAGGCAGAGAGGAGCAGGGCCAGCCAGGGGCCTGTTTTACCAGTTCTCCAAACTACCGGGAATGGTAATGAACTGGTAGAATCCAGCATATTCAGCATATTACTGAAGTTTGAATGTGGCTTCAACCTAAACCCATTGCCCACTGATACTTAGATTGTGCCTGATTTGGATACTGTTAGTGTAATTCAGACTTAGGTCTTCATGACACGATGAAGATTTCTGTAAATTTTTTAAAAATGTACATATTTATTCAGCTATGTCTTGTCCTATAAAAGTATACTTCTCTGTTAGTTTTGTGTAGGAAGTGATATCTGTATTCAGACTTCAGTTAACCTATTTGCCAACAGCCCCAACGTCTTCAATTTGAGGAATCAGAAATGTTTAGGAAAGAGAGGTTTCACAAGAATAGCTATGCTAAACTGCCAAAATAATCTGAAGTGGGCTTTCAGAAAATAGCCAGAACTATCTAATTCTGAAAGGGATCTGCAGGATCTTTCACTTCTTGGGAATACTGCAAATCTGACTTTATTGGGAATTAACTTGATTTTGCACAAGAGTCTGTTTCATGCATTACTCCTCAGTTAAGCTAAAAGAAGCATCTCCTGCTTCCTTACTTCATGATCTCAGTTTCTTAAATAATGAGTTCATGCACAGATTGTGAATCAGATTATAACTGGGAAATCAGTTTAATCTTCATTTAACCAGCCAGTATCTGAGATCACCATATAGAGTAAACTGTGACTACATTCAGTGCAAGAAAGTGTGATTTAAAGGGAAATTGGAGTTAAAGAGGCCACATACACTAAGATGAACAGTATGAAGGCTTTGATATCAGTTTAGTAGTATTTGAATGAATTCGATGTGCACATCATTCTAACTACTGTATAATATTGGGTTTTATCCACATTTTTATCAAACCATCTATTGCAGTTTGTAAACAATTTATTGTATGTAGAATTGGAACAACTGGGGGTCTCAGTGCTTCATGCCAAATTAAATGTAATTTTAAGGTAATATCCTGCTTTTGATTTTTAGAACAACTCAAAAGACCAACTGTGGACTCCATCCTGAAAAAGCATGGACTTCTGCCTTAGTATAAAACATAGCTGTTGATATCTCATAAATATGATGTAGCATATGTAGATATTTCAAAAGCGTGAAATATCTACATTTCTCAATGTATGCTAGTTCAGTAAGTTAATCTGTTTAAAACTTTAAAGCTAACTGTATAATGCTTTATGACGTAACTTGAAAAATAGTGATCAATACATAAATTAGCATAGTGATTTGCTTTTTTATATCTTGCAAAAATCTACTATATTACTAAAAATCTGCTTAGTTCTTATTTACTGAACCCAGTTGGAACCAGCACTCCATTGTTAAGCAAAGTGGTTACTATGTGGGAAATAATGTGACTGCTTTTACCCATTTCCCTGCCCTGTGGAATGCTTACTTTGCTGCCATAATAGGCAAGCTTGCAACAGCTGCCCATAACTGACAAGACTACTGTAATCAATTTAACATCTTTGCATTTGTTTGCCTCCTAATGATTTTATTTCAGCTTCCTTCCCCCTCCCCCCACTCCACCTCTCTTTGGAGTGCTGTCTCCAATGATGGCATAATTAGCAATAAGGAATTAATGTTTATAATTAATTGGAGAAGAAGTGATTATAAGAGAGTAAGCAGGTACAAACAATGGAGGAATGCATATTGGAAGGAATGTGGTGGAGCCAGCAGTCCCAACTGTACTAGGTAAACAATCCATCCCTGCTTATTCTCTTGTAATCCCTTCTTCTCCAGTCTTTCTACTCTGCAAGTGGCAGATGGGTGCGTAGGAACAATGGATCAGTCAATGTATATTGACTATAATGGTGATCTTATGACTGAGAGACACTGAGAAGGTTATAAACACAGGCATTGGTTTTAAAGTTATTTTTTCAGCACCATCTTAACAATGAACTGTCCCTGAATGAGTTAATCGGTAAATGAGGTCTACCTGTAGTTGTCCAGAAAAAAAAGAATATAGAACCTATTAAAGAATAATACCAAGGAGACTCATAATTTCTATGCCAATGATATTCGGTGTCTAGATATGTATTCATGTATTTATGTGCAGAAATGATGTTTTTACAAATAATAAATTTAAAAAATGAATGGGTATTTGCAGATTTGATTTCTCATCTACTCTAAAGTAAAACAAGTTTTTAAAAAATTGCCTTCAGTGAGATAGACAGCATACAAGTTTGATAAATAAGTAAAAATGTTTTTCAATATTAGATTTTTTTAAAGCGAAGTCCAGGTACTTTGGATTTCAACCTTTTCATCCCAGTCAGTATGGTCAAATCATCTGGATGGTATCTGGCTTGTTAATAGTACATGAAAAAAGTCAGTAGTTACAAATAGAAAACAAGAAGTAATGAGAAAAGTTCTTGTCCTGAAAAATGTGGAGAATTATCAAACATAGAAGCTGTATTTAGGTCCACTGTTCTCAAGCAATATGCTGCGTACCTTGGGGCATTGCAGCAAAATCATAGAGCACTGTGAGATATTTTACCACTTAGTAAATGGAACTGTTGGTGAACTGGGCTGTCACTATACATGGCTTGAGCATGGTGAATGATAAAAGTTTGAAAACTTCTGGTTTAGGTATTTTTAAGACTTGTCAAGGTTAACTGATTGAAGAAGTAATAGATACGTTGACATTTCAATATTTTAAAATATTTCTAAACCTAATTGATTCTGGGAGTGTCGGGAGTTACATGCTGGGTTCATCTGCTGGTACCAGTACTTTCCCTGGCTCAGATTTGGGAATGACAGGCTTCATCCAATGTTTGGTAACTTGGCATGATAGAAAGTTTTATTCGGTTTTTGCTTACTAATTTATTTCTTATATTTGAATATGCTGTTTAGCCAATTTATTCCCTACATTTACAGTCAAATATAACAATAGCATAGATACTTATGAACAAAGCAAGTAAATTATAATAAAAACAGCAACAAAATTAAAATAGATTTAAGACACAGAACTATAAAAATGTATCAATGTATGTGCCAATTATGGAGACTATGGAAGTTTATGGTAGGAGTATCAAATGTATGAGGTTACCTGGGATTTAAAGCATAGGTTAGCAGTATGGCAATTATAGTTCTTTTATTCTTTATGTTGATGTGAACCTTTCTATTTGAAAAAAAGAAAGAATTGGACAAGAAGTAGGAGTAACAAAGCATGGCTATGACAGGATTGAGAGGTAGAACAGTTATTGATTTCCTTATGTCCAGACTCTTGAGAAATGTATTTAATGAATAGAGCTAACTCCAATAGTTGCTGCTGATATGCCTTTCTTCTACTACCTGTTTTTTCCATTGAAAGATAGAAAAAAAAAGAAAGGATTTCAAACAGTATATGACTGGATGCCAAGTGCCCCATGATCATGCAATCACCATTTTCAATTTCCTTTTTGGCTTCCTCAGAAAGGCAGTGGGGAAGCCAGAAGGGAAAACTGCAAGGTGATTGAATAAGACTTTTCCATCTGTGCACCCTCCCCCAGCCACTCTGCATTTGCTTCGCTTTGGCCACATGTGCACCTCCATGCATCCTCCCCAACCTGCACCTCTCACATACCCTCCATGACCCACATCGCACTTCTCATGCACACTCATGTACTTTACCTGACCTGCATGACACCTCTTGTGCATCCTCTTTGTACCTCCCTGACCTATGCAGTGTCTCATATGTCCCCTCATTTATTCTCCCTAACTCATACCTCTCACACACTCTCTCTGACCTGTGTGTGCTTGTCATGCAACTTCCTCAACCTTCCATACGCTCCACACTCCCTCTTCTTTCTTCCCCCACATGGCAACAGTTTGGGATTGACTGGTTGTGGGAAGTGGCAGGAAGTTGCCTTGCCTAATAATTGTGGCATTCAGTTAATGACAGCAACCAGAATTGTAAGGATTGCCCTCGCTAAATGACCACATACCAAGGGAATTTCCAGTGGCAATTGCTGTCATAAGTCAAGGACTACCTGTTTTAAATGTCAGAGCTGCATCACTGCTTATGGAATTATTTGTTGAGCACTTTATATTGATATGCTTATTTATCTTCTGCTTAAAACTAGAATCCTATTCAACATTGCCTATACATTAATAGAATCATAAAATGTCATTTGATACTATGCTTTCATCCTTCTGAGTTTTCCAGAGAATACTGTATATCAACTACCATAAATGGGTATTACATGATTGGAACACCTTATTTGGAGCTTGTGAAATATAGGGAGCTAGATATTATTCTGTAGCATCTCTATAATTCTCTACTAGGGACTGAACTCATTAACGTTTCCTTCACATGAATGTTTAGCTTTAAGAAATGTCCAGGTCCTGGTCCTCAATGGTTGTAGGAGGTGATATCTAGAAATTATCAGAATGATATATACAATCTACATTTAATATGCAGTTTATTCCATAAACTTTTGGTTCCACAGAATAAGCAAACACGAACATCACATAGGATGTACATTGTATGGAAATAGAGAAATGTTCCCATCCCCAAGAGGCATGAAAGTCATGTGAAGCTCCTTACATAGGAACATGACATAATATAACAACAATCTCTCTCTTCTGAGTTAAGGGAAGATGAACTCTACATATCATTGTGATCATTTCAGAAAACAAATGTTATTGGGCATAATTATTAGTAAATAAATTGCATTATGGGTATGTGAGCTAAAACTTTAATATTGAAACAATGTATTTAGATGGTATTTAAATAATATCTCTGGAATTTTTTTTTCGTAGAATGTATGACAACATGTCCACAATGGTGTATCTAAAAGAAGACAAATTGGAAAAGCTCACTCAGGATGAGATTATTTCCAAGACTAAACAAGTGATTCAAGGCCTAGAAGCCTTGAAGAATGAGCACAATTCCATCTTACAGAGTTTACTTGAGACACTAAAATGTTTGAAGAAAGATGACGAGACCAACCTGGTGGAAGAAAAATCAAATATGATTCGGAAGTCTTTGGAAATGCTAGAATTGGGACTAAGTGAAGCTCAGGTAAATAAAATGAATGAAGATAGCCTTATTTAATCTCTGATGTTCAAAATCAAGGGGGAAAGTTTGTATTTTAATTCAATTTAAATATGATTGTATATGATCAATGTATAATTGGCTCTGTGCTTTGGATAAAACTGACTTCAGTACACATGCTGTTTTTCGATGCTGTTTTTACAGTAACATACATTCTGTTTTCGTCTGTCTTTAGGACAGTCTTATTTGTTCCTTGGTATCAGGCCAAAATCCTTAGCATCAATAGGAGAATTTAGTTGATATTCCTATGAAGGAAACTTTATTTTCAGATATTATTAATTCACAATTTTGTTCTTCTAGGTTTCCCACATTGCATGTAGGTTTTATTTTTTGCCCTATCTTATTTGTCACTAATCAGTAAACAGCTTTACTTACACATACTTAAATATAACACAAAATCTTGACATGTCTACATACAGTAGTCTATTATTCAATAGGTTATACATTTAATATATTAATTCTTAAAGTATTTTATTAAATTTATCATTTTTATCATAAATCATCTATTTTTAATATCCTGCTTTCTATCCACTGTCCTCTGGTCAGTGTCATATATACATTAATAATAAATGTCTTATAAATCTTTTAGACTTTTAAGGCATTTTTTTAAATTCTTCGTGTTTATGCTTTGTTTCCTATGTCACGGCTTCCCTTGTTTTGTTTTTAATGAAGTCAGCTCTTTAATTTATTGGTTGGTGGATATTGTCTGTCTGTCTGTCTGTCTGTCTCTCTAGTTATCATTCTATCATCTCTCTTATCTAACCAATGTCCATTTCCTCATGGCTTTACAAAATATTTAAGTACTAGAATATTGAATCAAACAAATAACAATTTTGGTGCATTCTAGGTGATGATGGCTTTGTCAAATCATCTAAATGCTGTAGAATCAGAGAAGCAGAAATTACGTGCCCAAGTTCGTAGGCTATGCCAAGAAAACCAGTGGCTAAGAGATGAACTCGCTAATACCCAGCAGAAATTGCAAAAAAGTGAACAGTCTGTGGCTCAGCTGGAAGAAGAAAAGAAGCACCTTGAATTCATGAATCAGTTAAAAAAATACGATGATGATATATCACCTTCAGTAAGTAGCTTCAAATAAATTACATGATTTTCTTTAAATTCCTTTCTGTGAATGAATGTTACTCTGAAAGTATTTAGAATTTTTAAGGCAAATTTAATTTCTTTAATATCTGTAATGATAGACAAAGGCTGTATAATCTTTGTACATGATGTCAATCTTGCTTACATATCGAATTCCATAAAATGTGTAATTTTGTAATATTTTTATAATGCAGCCTCCTTTGAGTCCAGTATTTATTTGGCTTCTAGTTGGAAGCCAAAGGACAAATATATGGGACAGGCCAGAAATTAAAGCAGTACATTTATATCTTTAAAACAAATTCATTTCTACTTTCCCAAATGCACTTTCTAATCTAAGTATGCTATATATGCTATACATTTTATTGGTTTGATATCTCACTACAATCTAACAATTCTTGATTGTTACATTTTCAGAATAAAAAGAAAGACAACGGAATTAAAACAATAAAGGAGAATATTTGTAGCTCAGGGATGAAATGAGGGGTTCTTGGTGCCCTCCGAGCTTGCTTGTTTTCTTCAAATGTTTCATTACCCAAGCTAGGTAACATCATCAGTGCTAGTAAGGAATGCGGTTTGCTGTCAGTTTATATTCTGGTGTTTTGCCAGTCTGTGGGGGTGGGGGTGGTCTTAGAGATTCTTTGGTTGGACTGTTTACTGATGGTTTACTTGATTGTTGGTCTGACTTTAACCTTGGAGTTAATCTATGCTGATCTGAGTGCTGATTACTAGTGAGTAATCAGCACCCAGATCAACATAGATTAACTCCAAGGTTAACTTCAGATCAACAATCTAAGCAATACCCCAATCAAGAAACTGTCTAAAGAGTCATCAGTAAACAACCCAATCAAAGAATCTCGAAGACCAACCCCACCCACACAGACAGGCAGGACACCAGAATATAAACTGACAGCAAACATCACTCCTTACTAGCACTGATTATGTTACCTAGTTAGGGCAATGAAATATCTGCAAGAAAACAAGCTCAGAGAACATCAAGGACGCCTCAGGATTAAAACAACATACAATCCAAAGTAAAAAAGTATCTATATTTTGATTCAGCAATTTTAATAGTCTGCATATTCGGGATACATTTTAGGAGGACAAAGACGCAGATTCTGCCAAAGAACCATTGGATGATTTATTCCCCAATGATGAAGATGACCAAGGACAAGGAAGTAAGTTATAGTTGTAATTAATTTACTAAATTTACCAGACTACACCCTGAATCTGTTTCATTTCTGAAACCCAATCTTGTCTTAGTAAGCCTTCACCCAAAATTTGAAATTGGGGAGAACTTTTGGTTCCCCCCATCCACCCCCCAGTTACGTTGTTTAACAATTACTAGTGCATGGGTCCCTAACATTTCTTCCTTTCATGAGCTGAACTACGTTTTTCTAAAATCCAGGTAATTTGAAGAGAAAAGCGATATGAAAGTACTTTAACTTTTTTTACAGAACGTGTCCCAAAAGAGGTATTCTCAAACACTAGCATGTCATATTATTAAGCGTAATAGGTATACAATATTTTACAGGTAAAACATTAGTGTATATGCTACTAACAAAGGCCAGTTCAACTATATTAATGGTAGATTGATTGGTTTATAATGAAGTAACTGTTAGTTTTGGTCAAGGCTATTGTAAATGGTATACAAAATCAACAGTTGCGGCTATTGCCATAATATTAATATCATACCATACAGTAAAATATAAAATGATGGGTGAAATTGTAGTGAATATAGTATACCTGCATTGAAAAGTTTATAGCTGTCAAGCCCCAAAGTCGTTTTGGAACAATCAGATTTTTATGAGCTTCCAGGAGACTGGAAACTAACCTTGCCTCAGAATTGAATGGTCTTATTCTGATTATTTCCAGTTCAACAGCCACATAGCAGCGCAGCAGCAGCTGCCCAACAAGGTGGTTATGAGATTCCAGCAAGATTAAGGACCCTCCATAATCTTGTCATTCAGTATGCTTCCCAAGGTAGATATGAGGTTGCAGTACCACTTTGTAAGCAAGCTCTCGAAGACCTTGAAAAGACTTCAGGCCATGATCACCCGGATGTTGCCACTATGTTGAACATACTTGCATTAGTATACAGGTTAGTAAGGTTAAGAATATAGTTTTAAAATGTTGCATGTTTAGAATGTACTGATGCTGCAATGCAATGTTTTATTTACAGTATAAGACAGTTAAAAATATCCAACACCTCAAGCTCAAATGCTAACAGGAAAGGCCAGGTTTCTGTTGTTTTACAAAATGTTGTGTGTGGGTAAATTGGTCTAAAGAGGCAGGGCCCCCATGTTTCCTCCACAAGCTCCAAATGAAATGCTTGTGGACTGATTCAACAAGACTGGCAAATTCTGCTTGGAAGAAAGGATTCTGCAAGTTACCTCAATCAAAGCTAGATTTATAGACCCATTCCATTAACCTTCTATTTCCTTTTCTAGAGCTTTAAGAAAGCCAAACCATTATTAGGATGATAGCCAGGTAATCAATTCAGGATGGCAGTTTTATTGACAGGATTTCATTATATACTGTCACAAGACTATGTGGCAGAGGCCTGTGACTATGAAGATGTTCACATATGCAGACAGAATAGTTACCTACAGTGCCATTAAACACAGCAATCTTATACAGTGTCAGCCTATCTGGGACTAAGCCTCATTAAAATAAATAGGATTAGACACAGACTCTGCTATAATTAACATATTGTCACTTCAAAAAAGATTAGCTAGATTCTTGCCACCTCATCTTTTACTATGCCCAGACTGCTCATCTCTTTGATAGTCTCAGTAACATTAGCTGATAGTGATCTTTAGTTGTGTCATTCTCCAGGCATCTGAACTAGAAAGTCCAATTTATTGTGTTAAAGTAATTTAGCCTAGGGGTGCTTGGGCTGTCTGGGCTCTGGTGTGACGGAATCTGGCATGTTCTCCCTTGAGATGTGTTCTGTTAACTGAACAGCTGAAAAAGAATGTCTTCCCACTCATTAGTAGCCTGCAAGATTTCTCCCTTTTCCCACCACTAACTGAGCTTTTCAACCTGGAAGCTAGAATTTTATACACTGCTCAAAAAAATAAAGGGAACACTTAAACAACACAATGTAACTCCAGGTCAATCACACTTCTGTGAAATCAAACTGTCCACTTAGGTAGCAATACTGATTGACAATCAATTTCACATGCAAATGGAATAGACAAGAGGTGGAAAGCATAGGCAGTTAGCAAGACATCCCCAATAAAGGAGTGGTTCTGCAGGTGGTGACCACAGACCACTTCTCAGTTCCTATGCTTTCTGGCTGATGGTTTGGTCGCTTTTGAATGCTGGCGGTGCTGTCATTCTAGTGGTAGCATGAGACGGAGTCTACAACCCACACAAGTGGCTCAGGTAGTGCAGCTCATCCAGGATGGCACATCAATGCGAGCTGTGGCAAGAAGGTTTGCTGTGTCTGTCAGCATAGTGTCCAGAGCATGGAGGCGCTACCAGGAGACAGGCCAGTACATCAGGAGACGAGGAGGCCGTAGGAAGGCAACAACCCAGCAACAGGACCGCTACCTCCGCCTTTGTGCAAGGAGGAAAAGGAGGAGCACTGCCAGAGCCCTGCAAACTGACCTCCAGGGGGGCCACAAATGTGCATGTGGCTTCTCAAATGGTCAGAAACAGACTCCATGAGGGTGGTATGAGGGCCCGACATCCACAGGTGGGGGTTGTGCTTACAGCCCAACAGCGTGCAGGACGTTTGGCATTTGCCAGAGAACACCAAGATTGGCAAATTCGCCACTGGTGCCCTGTGCTCTTCACAGATGAAAGCAGGTTCACACTGAGCACATGTGACAGGTGTGACAGTTCTGGAGACGCCGTAGAGAATGTTCTGCTGCCTGCAACATCCTACAGCATGACCGGTTTGGCAGTGGGTCAGTAATGGTGTGGAGTGACATTTCTTTAGGGGCTGCATAGCCCTCTATGTGCTCTCCAGAGGTAGCCTGACTGCCATTAGGTACCGAGATGAGATCCTCAGACCCCTTGTGAAACCTTATGCTGGTGCGGTTGGCCCTGTGTTCCTCCTAATGCACGACAATGCTAGACCTCATGTGGCTGGAGTGTGTCAGCAGTTCCTGCAAGACGAAGGCATTGATGCTATGGACTGGCCCGCCCGTTCCGCAGATCTGAATCCACTTGAGCACATCTGGGACATCATGTCTCGCTCCATCCACCAATGTCACGTTGCACTAGACTGTCCTGGAGTTGGGGGATGCTTTAGTCCAGGTGTGGGAGGAGATCCCTCAGGAGACCATCCGCCACCTCATCAGGAGCATGCCCAGGCCTTGTAGGGAGGTCATACAGGCACGTGGAGGCCACACACACTACTGAGCCTCATTTTGACTTGTTTTAAGGACATTACATCAAAGTTGGATCAGCCTGTAGTGTTTTTTTCCACTTGAATTTGAGTGTAACTCCAAATCCAGACCTCCATGGATTGATAAATTTGATTTCCATTAATAATTTTTGTGTGATTTTGTTATCAGCACATTCAACTATGTAATGAACAAAGTATTTAATAAGAATATTTCATTCATTCAGATCTAGGATGTCTTATTTTTGTGTTCCCTTTATTTTTTTGAGCAGTGTATTTACAAGTCTTATTAATCCTACTATTCCAGGCACATTATTGTTAATATTTTTTTAAAAATCCTCTTATTTTTGTGGGTTTCCACAAGGCTAAGTAGTACGTAGTTTTATTTCAGCTATGTCTCTTAGTTAAACCCAAGTACTGGATTCTCATTTTTTTTTAGTATTGTCTTCACCAATGTTTATGGTGGTTCCACAAAATCCTATAATAAAAGTTTAGCTTCATTGTTAGCTTCACTAACAGCTACACGCAATATTTTGAAGTGAAGTGTAGAATATTTATATATTGTTTATATAAAGGATTTATAAACTAGTATGTGTTAATTATTTCTTCCCAATGTAGGGACCAGAATAAATATAAAGATGCAGCAAATTTACTGAATGATGCCCTGGCCATTCGTGAAAAGACCTTAGGCAAAGATCATCCTGCGGTCTGTATATAGTGCAGGTTTTTGTTTTTCCTATCACAAATTATTTTCCTTAAAATTTATTTTAATGTTAAATTTGAAATGAAGGTTTTAAAGTTTATTGTTAAACATAATTGAAGTTAGAGGACCTTCAGTTTTTTTTTAAATTTATAATAACTGAATACAAATCTTTTTAACTCTATTTATTTAAATTACTTTCTTCATACATATATCAGGTATATTCCTCTGCTGAAACAGATACTGTCTATAATTGTATTTCTTGAATAAACAATTAAAAAACTGAATTGTTTACATTTGAAGTATACTAAAATATAAGTATGTGAGTTATTTAACTTAAAAATTGTGTCAGCAGGCATAGTAGTTGATCTAGTGTTTGGTTTTTCTTGCAGGTTGCAGCAACTTTAAATAATCTTGCTGTACTTTATGGGAAAAGAGGAAAATACAAGGAAGCTGAACCTTTATGTAAGAGAGCTTTGGAAATCAGAGAAAAGGTAACATTTAGTTTTGTATGATATACAAAACAACCCTCATAAAATTGTAATAATAATAACTTACCACATACTTTTACCAAACAACACAATAATTTCAAATGAAGCCAGTAAAATTAGCTTAGAATTCAATAAACAAATATTAATATAAAGCAGAATACCATTACATTTAAAATATTGTCCTCTGTTATTTTTGTTGAATATATTTTACAATTATAATAATGGGAGTACAGGTAGTCCTCAACTTACGACTAAATGAAGCTGCCCATTACGTTTGTAAATTATGACAGTCATAAAGCAGGTCATCCACATGATTGACCAGCTTTTGTAATCATGGTTGTCATCATTTTTGTGATGGTTGTTAAGTGAACCAATTATTTGCTATGGTCCGGTTTTGCCAAAATCCAGAAATGCAAATTTTTAGCAAAAATATCATGAAATGTGGTTATGTGACTACAGGATTTTGCAAACTGCTATGTAGGCCAGTTCCCAAGTGCCTGAAATGCAGTTATGTCACTGTGAGGGGCTAGGTGTTGGAACTTTAGAACTGGGTTGTAAGTATCCTGGACGATACTCTGGAGAGGTCTGTCAGAATTTAAAAGTTACCAAGCAACTAGTTTTAAATTTATGACTACCAAGATGCATGCAGCTAAAGAAGAAAACTGCATGCAGATAGGAGGTTTTTTCTTATAAATATTTGTTGTAATAGAGATATATTGTAATTGGTTATTATAGAACATTAAAATATTTGTAATAGGACAAAGACCGTTGTTAACAAAGAATATTGTATGAACTTTTTTGTAAGTAGTTTCATAAGATAATCTACATACCAAAAACACCCCAGTGAAAATATTAGCAGATGCTGGGGGGGGGGGGGGGGGGGGGGTGTCAAAACATTTTTTAAATAGTTGTTACATGAATGTTTTAAGCATATTTATCATACCACATTTTTTTTTCATTCTAAGTGAAACTTCCTTAATCGCAGAATTTCTAATTTAAAAAGAAAAAGATTGGGGAGTGTTCCCACCTTGCTATCTAAAACCTGATAGTATGAGAGCAAAAGGGGATTCTGAAGAAAGCAGTAAGAATACCATGATGGAGACTGGGAAGTTGGGCAGCAGGGGACAAAGATAATAGCGGACAAAGATAATTTCCTATAGAGCTTCTTCTGTCAACATGACGCAGTAAAGAAATTTATGAAGTTGGAAGGAATAAATAAATGAGAGGAAAGTCTGAAGAAATAATATGAAGTAACGTAACCAGGGAATTTCAATATGTTTTCTAGGTGTGCATAGTAGATTTAAATTAATTGATTATTCCCACACAACATTTCTTCTCCCCCATCTCCAAAGGTCTTTCCCAAATACCATTATACAAAACTTCCATGCAAAGGCATTGCTTATTAGGGCTGTCCACACTTGTTTAACTGTAAGCTATTCTGTAAAGTTATACCTGAAAACCTTAAAGCATTTAAACATGAAAATCATGAACCAGAATATCTTCTTAAAATCTGCATTGCATGGAAATAAATCCTGCTAATGCTGATCAATAAATTTTGGGCTTGGGATATAATTAAATGGTTAATTTGAGAAACAAATATATGTATTGTAATACATTCATAATAAGAATATTAGTAAAAAAAACTAGAAAAGTAAATGTGATAGCAGTAATTTAATCAATTAATGGATAAAAAATGAATACTAAACATAGGTGGATAAAGATTATCTCCACACCTCAATAAAATAGATGTTAGCTATATCTGAGAAAGGGAAGAATTAATGTGAAATTCCTCTTTATTTCTAGGTGCTGGGAAAAGACCATCCAGATGTTGCCAAACAGTTAAATAATCTGGCATTACTATGTCAGAACCAGGGCAAATATGAAGAAGTAGAATACTACTATCAGCGGGCACTTGAGATCTACCAAACAAAACTGGGGCCAGATGATCCAAATGTAGCAAAAACAAAGAATAATTTGGTATGTTTGTATAATAGAATAAAAAGCAGAGAAGCAAGTCATTGTGGTCCTTGTTTGTTGAAAATGTGAACCTGATTTCAAAACACTGTGACCTTAGCTGCTGGCTTGTCCTACAAATGCTTACACAAGTGCTGATACTGATATTTAAATTTAAAACATGCTAAAGTAATGCTTTCTTTCTTCAGGCATCCTGCTATTTGAAACAAGGGAAATTTAAGCAAGCAGAAACTTTGTACAAAGAGATTCTTACTCGTGCCCATGAAAGAGAATTTGGCTCCGTGGATGGTAAATATTTGTATTATGAAAAAATGTTAGACATGGAGATTATTTTCCAAATGATATGATGTATGTATGTTACATATTTAAAAATAATACAAATTTTAGAAATTCTTATATTAAAAGTGTTTATTTCTATATTAGTTCTGCAGATCTGACCATAGATATTTTTTCAAGGGATACATATTTCAAATTGTGCTTGAGGTATGCCCAACCCCCCCCCCCAATTCAAAATTGGGGCAAATTCACCCCCCCCCCCCCCAAATACTGTATATATACTACTAAAACTCTTATGTCTGCAACCATTAGCTTGGCGTAACAGTGCATCATAGAGCAAAAAAACTTCAACCAAGGTATCTCAAATGGGCTAACTTGACAGAATGCGTTCAAAAATCCAGGAGCCATGACTGTTGTGGAACTGAAGTTTGACAAATTTTATAAACATTTTATGTTTTATTTTCTTTGTATTATAAAGCATAATACAAAATGTCTTAAAACATATTCTGTGGTCAACTCCTCATGTTTTGACTGTGCTTTACAGTTCACATGGGCTACTTTTGAGGCAGGTATATCTCTGAATATCTCCCTGAAGCTTTAACAACATTTCTAGTACATTAGAAGCTCTGCCATTGTTGAATGCATTGAGGAATCTGGTTAAGGAAATAGCTCTAAAATGATGACTCAACAGGTCATAGGTTATTTCAGTGCGTAATGAAAAAGGAATGGAAGAAGCATTTTAAAAAGCAAAACATTCAAATGCCACTGATTACAATTATCTGTCTGCTTTTAGGCCTCTTTTCATAATTAATGGAATTCTGCCCAGTGTAGTAAATATAGTACTAATAAAAATAAGTCAGCTGAGTGTTGTTTCACAGAAGAAATACTGATTGTATATAATAATTTCAGTGTAGTAGCTTCATTGAATTAAATCAGTTATGTCAACAAGGATGGACAAGTTGTCAGAAATACTGTGATCAATGAAAAACTTTGTAATGCTTTAGCAGACACCTGTGTTCTCTCAACATGCTATTTGAAAGTTGGTTGAGATCAAAGCTACTTTAAATAGAACAACTTGGAGTTATAGATCCTTTTTTCACAACGTCTAAGAAGGTAGATGCATTTTGACATAGCGGGATGAGATAATTTTCTGTGGATTCATCTTATTTTAAAAAATAGAATTGTGTAATCTTTACAACAATAGAAATAAGAGCTACTAGTTAACACTGACCAACATGTTTTAGAAACTAGCAGAGTCTAGGATAGATTTCTCTATATAGATATAAAATGTTTCCTTAACCATGATTCTGGAATGTGTGATAATTTATTTCGCAATTCCATATTTTACTCTTACATAGATGAAAACAAACCAATTTGGATGCACGCTGAGGAGAGAGAAGAATGCAAGGTAAGAAATTAAAAAGCAGAAATGAATTTATAAATATGTTGTTGTTAATTTATATTCCACTTTTCTGCTTCTTAATATATTGTTCTCACTTTAGGGAAAACAAAAAGACGGCATGACATTTGGTGAATATGGAGGCTGGTACAAAGCTTGCAAAGTTGACAGGTAGGTATACTTTCCCCAAATCATTTGTAGTGTTTGGCTGCTGGCAGTGCTATGAATTCTGAAATGTAAAGAAATCATAACAGCTAAAAAAGTATAAATCATTTTAAAAAATTGTGTCATAGTATTACATATTCTCTGCTTTCTAGTGAAAACTCCAGATTACCTCTTTATATGAAAAAAAAAACCCTATATCATATAAACAGGTAACCTGAATTTTTCAGTTTTCAAACTATTTTTCTGTTTAATTCTTAGGGTTCGGCGACAAGAACACTATTTTCACAATCCCCTGCTTGCCTATTGCACTTGATGTTTGTAGTGTGACTAGATCTATTTTACCCCTGCTAGATAGGCCTATGTATTACTTCAAAACATTCAACATTCTTCAAAATGTCAGAGGGGATGTATAAGAAAGGGATCATTTTACCAAAGCTACAGATAGTACTAGAGATACCATTGTAATGGAGCCTGCCCATTATGTTTGCAAGTGATGATGACCGTTAAGCAAGACAGTCTCGCTTAATGACTCTCATCCCCTACTCTTTTGAAGCAGCTGTTAATGTGTGAAACATTAAGCGGAGCACAGTTGTCTCAGATGTGGTGGAAGGTCTTGGAGGCTTAGCACAGACCTAGACCCATCTGCCCTGGGCCTCCGAAGGTTCTCCCCACTCCTAAGAGTCTCACCTTCTGCTTCTCAGCCCTTGGGTCCCTACAGGCCTTTCCCTGCCTCACTGGTCCTTGCAGATCTTTCCCTCCCCCCAGTCCCCACAGGTCTTAGTCCTGATGTCTACCTCACCAGGCCCCACATGTTCCTCCTCACTTAGTTTTTGAAGAGCTCTGGACCAATCCACTGCTTGGGTAAGGAGGGCAGGCCATGAGTCCCTAGGGAGTGTTTCTGCCTCCTGGAAGCAGTTGTCATTTTTAGCACAACTGCTATTTCTTGCCAGTACACTAAAGTGGTAGCTGTTTACATGAAGCCACCATGCAGCCTAGGGACAAACCACTTTGCTTTGCTTCTACAGCTGCAGAAAGTTTATGTAGTATTGTGCAGACCGCTTAAGGCAGCAAAATAGTGCATTTTTGTCCTGGGCTGCATGGCTACCTCGTGAAAGTAGCCACCAATTTTTCAAACTAGAATTTTAAGGGCGGGGGGGAACTATCAGATTAGTACCTTTTTAAAAAATTATATAAATTACCGTTATTTAGGACATCTATTGTTAACAATGTGCACATTTTGTTGATTCCAAAATGAATAGTTCTAGAAAACTGCAACATTTTGTTCCCAATGGGCCAGGTTCTTTTTGGAGAATGGGGGAGTTTGACACCTTTGGGCAATAAATTATTGAAACCAGAAGCATTTGAAGTGTTACCAGTGTTCTGGATTTTAAAAAAAAGGCTGTTCCATCTGTAATGTTTTTTGTAGAATATCGCAAACTATTTTCAGTTCAGAGAATTTATTTCTAAAAACCATAAAACCATCCACCAGAACAGTATGGTCTAGAGAAAAATCTTAAATATTCTTAAGAATATTTCTGAATTGCTCTGCCAAGAGTTTTATTGGTGCAGCTAATGGATTTACTATTGCGATTGAAAGCATTTTGTGGCCTAAAGTGGTTATGCTAGAAAAGCACCATAACCACAGTGCCTTGAGAGAAGAAGCACCAAAGCACTTTGTATGTTTGTGTTATTATTGCTATTGCTCTTTGTATTTAATCCTATTTTTAATATTGATGTGGCATTGAATTTGTAAATTGTTAATAAGAGGTGGTTTTACTTCTTTTATCGGAATGAAAATGTTCACACTTTCTGTAAGAGACAAGTAGCAAAAAATGATAAATGCAGAATATTATGTATCAGATATTTTTATGGTTTTTCTTCTTTAAAAAAAAACCTGAACAAAGTTAATAAAGGGAAATTGATAATACAATTTGTATGTCTTAAAGCTATTGCTTTAGAACTAACTATAACATGGACTAAAATAACTGAAAACAATGTGTGCCCTTTGCAAGTATGTTATCCAAAAATCGCATACATGAACATTTCCATAACAAGCAAGTATTTAAATTCAATGCTCTTAGGAAATAAATGCCCATTACTTTATTAATTTATTAATACATGCTGCCGTGATGGTGCAGTGGTTAGAATGCAGTACTGCAGGCTACTTCTGCTGACTGCCGGCTGCCAGCATTTCGGCAGTTTTGAGTCTCACAGGCTCAAGGTTGACTCAGCCTTCCATCTTTCTAGTAAAAGGTCGGTAAACTGAGCGCCCGGATTGTTGGAGGCAATATGCTGATTCTGTAAAACGCATAGAGAGGGCTGTAAAGCACTGAGAAGTGGTATATAAGTCTGAGTGCTAATGCTAATTAGGCTTAAGATGAGCATTGGCTTTTAATCTTCCAATGTAGTCTTAAGCAGGATTGTTGCAAGCTTGGGTAGTTATGGATTGCTGTCAGAAATAATTTTGATTTTTAATTTAACAGTCCAACAGTTACAACTACTTTAAAGAATCTTGGAGCACTTTATAGACGTCAAGGCAAATTTGAAGCTGCTGAAACACTAGAAGAGGCAGCAATGAGATCCCGTAAACAGGCGAGTACTATAACACAAAAAGGTTCTTTAAAATGTTTAAATTGTTTACATTTTCAATATTACCATTATTTTAGAGCAGAACAAAGGTAAATTTAGGAACAGTGGATGATATGTGCTCCTTTACTGCATGAAATACTAAAGAAAACTGGCCACAAGCAGGCCAAATGAACAAGTTCAAGGATATCTTTTCAGCAAAATGTACCACTGACTATATCAGGAAATAACAATTCCAAGCGCTCATTGACCCCAAGTCTGTTCCCAGTACAAGAATCCACTGCTAGCATCTTTGACAAATGACCATTCAGTATCTGTCTAAGCATCTCTGTTTAATCAGTGACACACAGGATCACAGTTTGCATACATAGGAGCTTAGCAGGCCGACCATAAAGGAATCCTTTCTACATTTTCAAATGAATACCGGTCTCCAAATCAATAAACAAAGGTCACTAGAGAATGTAACAGTGCATAGAAAACAAGGACAAATGATCACTGACAGCACCAGAGAAAAAAAAAACTTGCAAGAGCTATCCAGGAATCTTGCTTTTCAGATGCACCCAGAAAACAACAACAAACCAAGGTGATCTGCGTAGATTTTGGAGAAATTTAAACTATGTTGATAACTTAGTTTTATTCAGCTATGAATGAGCTCTCTCTACTGCCCTTTTGTCTTGTTGATTATGGAGCTTTCAAACTATCTTTGAAAAAGACGGTTACTGCATATAGATTTTTCATATTTCAACATTGACAAGAAAGATTTAAACACTTGTATGAAGTGAACACACCTAACCAGCAAAACAGTCAGACAATTGATGGCATGATGACTTTGGCTGGGGAAGAATGGGCCTCCAGCCTGAGCACTAGTTTCATGCACTGTACACTGTATTGCTTGTTCTTTGAGTACACGATGTCTCAGGGCAAGCACAACCTGTTGCGACCAAGCTGGGTTAGGGCTTGGAGTCCAACAATGTTACTGGCCATACACATTGAAGGTAGGGCATGTGGATGAATCCTATTCTAATGGATATTCTGCATGGACTAGGAAAACCCATGTGGACTCTGTTGGAGTATGATGCTTATTTACTGACTGTTCAGAGACTGAGAGGGACTCCTGGGTGAGCCATCCATTGTGCATTCAGTGTGATTGAAAGAGACACAACTAAATCTGACTTGCTCCTTAACAAGTTTGACAAGATCAAGGAAGCAATTTTAGTACACAGATTCTAGTAAAGCATAATTAATGCTATTCTGGAGATAAATATAGAATCTCGGAAACTATAAAAGGATTTTCTAATCTTCATTTATTGTGAATTTATTAAGGTGGAGTGATTTGAAAAGCTCCTTGCTGATGTTTGTTTTGTCTTTCCTTCTTGTAATAGGGACTTGATAATGTTCACAAACAAAAAGTTGCTGAAGTACTTAATGATCCAGAAAGTATAGAGAGAAGGCAAAGCCGTGAGAGCCTTAATATTGATGTGGTAAAGTATGAGAGTGGACCTGATGGAGGAGAGGAAGTGAGTATGAGCTTAGAATGGAATGGGGTGAGTACAGTACACAGTGCAGTCAAGTTTTTATTCTGTTGGTGTTATAACATATTCTTGGTTTATATTCATCTGCAGATTTGAGTAAAAGAAAAATCCTGCTTTTTATATTTTAACATCAATTGGAAAATACTCAAATGGGGAAAACCTAGGAATTAATCTTTGGATCTTGCTGTGCTTGCTTTGAATGCTGATTGAATGTCCTAGTTAACATGCAGCCTAAATCAAGCTAATGTTCTTTTTTCTGGAAGCAAAGTATGACAGTCACATGCTTGTATTCTTTATCACTTAAAACATTTGCTGATTCGGGAAATAAACACTGCTGTAAACTCAGGTGGAATGATATAAAAGAAAAACCTGGACACTGTATTGTGAAAACAAAGTGAAAATAACTTCTGTATAAATGAAATCCACTAGTTTTTTTTTACATACAGGGAGTCCTCATTTAACAAACAGTCATTCAGCTTCATTGTCTAAAGTTACAGTGATGCTGAACAACTAGTTTGGTCATGTGATTAAAATTTGGGTGCTTGGTAACTTGGCTGTACTTATGATTGCATTGGATCTTCAACTCCCCTCACTTTCCCATCCCCCCCCCCCCCCGCCCCCATTTGTCCTTTTGGTCACCTTATACAGTGGCCTCTTTGGTGGTGGTGGTGATAGTGGTGGTGGTGATAGTGGTGATAGTGGTGGAGCTAAAATAGGCCCAGGGTCTTTAGCCTCAGCCAGCCACGCCAAATCTACTCATACCATTCTGCAGATAGGACTCAATGTTGCTGAAATTATGCACACAATTCCCATAATGCCTCAGAAGGCCTCAGAAGATTTCTGAAGCATTGTAAGAAGAGCACTCACAATTTTTTAGAGAATGACCTGAGTGGCTTCAGAAAGGAGGTCTGGCATAGTCAGCAGCTGCCTCACCTATAGCCAGGTTGGGCCTGCCTTTTCAGCAGTGGGAAGAAGATGGTGAAGATCAGCTGGGTGTGGCAGAACTTGCAGATTGCAGGGCAGTGGTGATGGCTGGGACTTTGTCCTGTGGCTCTAGTTGGCTGCAAGTGTGGGGCATAAGGTGGCACTCCCTGTCGCTGGCAGTGCTGAGGCTGAAGTAGGGATTCAGAATAGTGATGGCTGGCTGAGACTGCTGAAGGCCTTGGGCCTCTTTTTTCTGCTGCTGCTGCTGCTGCTGCCAAGGAGCGCTACTGGGCAAAGTGGCCAAGGGCAGAGATAGGAAGGTTGGGGAGCTGAAGAGGAGGCTCCCTTATTTTACTGGAGCTCAGGATGGGAGGGATCAAGACAGGAATGGCTTTGATCTAAGTGGGTCCTTGCTTATTCACCAGTGGGATTCAGTTAACAACTACAATGAAGACCACCAGGATTGCTGTTGCTAAGTGATGTGGTCACATGACATTGTACTTTATGATTGCATCTCTTAATGACAGAAATTCCAGTTCCAATTAATTGTTGTAAGTCAGGGACCACCTGTATGTTGTGAGCTGTGCTGCAGAATCTATTCTGTATACAACATTTCTCAAAGTTCATGGCACTAGAATGCAAAAATAAAATCTGGCTCTATAGCTGGATAAATTACTGCTTCCAAACGTCCTGGAAGACTGCTGCATTTTTAGAAAAAAATTGTTTTTATCTCATGCTATCTGTTCCCTTTGGGTAATGCAAAAATGTGCTGTAGAAATTAAAACAAAAAGCACTTTTTAAAGCCAGTATTGTTCTTTTTCTATTTGTCTGATAACTTTATCATTGTTGTAATGATTCTCGCTTGTTCTAGCAGCAGATAGTTTTCCACCTTTGATTTGTAACTGGATATGCTGAGCAGATAGAATTATTGTTCATCATAAGCGCATCATCATAAGCGCATCATCATAATTTTGTTTTTATAATACATTTGAAACCACTAGCAATTCATCTTGCATTTGGAAGTGTAGATTAGTTTCGATAGTGGGATATTTTTCGGACATTTCTTCTGTTGCTCTAAAATCTTGTCTGAATTTTACAGCCCCAAAGGTTGTGTGGCTCTATTTTGTTCTTTTCTTCTTTGACTTTTTTTCCTGCTCATCTTTAACTTTCTTTGACCTCCTTTCTGATTTAATATTAACAGTGCTAAGACAGTCAATCAGCATATAATAGAAACACCATTACCTTATTATTCTTTAATTTTTCCTGTTGGAATTAGAACTGTGTACTGTACTCTTCCCTGATTTTTTTTTCCTTCTGCTTGGCATGCCTTCAGTTTTCAAGTGCAGGAAGATGCACTGTTTGCATGTGTTTTATTTTTTATTAAGATATATGCAGATTTGCGATTGGATAGAGCATTCAAGGAAATAAACAGTATTTCTAGATCACAAATAGCTCATATTTTAAAATACTCTGATCAATAATGACTTCCTTCATAATGGAAATATCTGCTTTGAATGATATGTGGTCTTTAGGGTTGAGTAAACCAGATTTAAATCATGTCAAATGCAGCTGCAATTTAAACATATCCATCATATTCTTACAAAACACTGCTAAATTAATCATATTTTATTGTTTTAAAATGTTATCTTTGCCTGAAAAGTCATCTTTAAAATAATTCTAGCAGTTTGTGATATTGAAATAATTAATTGGATGGAAATTTAATATGATAAGGATTTTCAGCCTGTCACTTTTGCATTCCCAACTCACTTTAATACCTCACTGAAGAGGTCAAAGGAGCTGATCTACTTGACGGCTTTCCATTAGCTCCAAATTTCAGCTCCGCTTTTAGCTGAGCCATCATCAATCTGCCATTTGTTCCTAGAAAGGGACTGAAGGCAAGTAATTGCAATGGAAATAGATTTCAAATGCTTATTGGAATACAATATATGTTTCTATATTCTGAATAGAAGGTACAAAAATTGAAAATCTTTCAGAAAATCCTCTTGTGATTAAGAATAGATGTTATATTCTTTTTTCAAAGAAGGACTTGTTATCCTTTCTAGGCAGTAATGCTTCAGGGTGTGTTATTATTCATTCTTATGCCATATTCTTACAACATTTTTCGTTGTAGAAGTGGTCAAGGCAGTATTTTAAACAACAAATATTTTTTTTAAATGTTACTTTAAAACTTTAAATATTTAACATTCCATATTGCTCCTGTGCTGTGATAGTTTTGGAAAATCTACAAATAAGAATAAATGTGCTTACTTCACTCCACGTGTATAATTGTTGGGATCTTCCTCATGGACAATAGTTTTCTAATCTTCGGTAGTTTTCATTATTTTCTAATCATTTCCTTTCCCTCAAAAGTACTTTAACAATCAAAGCTTGGGAGAAAACACATATACATGTATGTATTTATTTATTTTTAATCCCATCTTTATTATTTTTATAAATAACTCAAAACAGCGAGCATAAATTGTGGTTGTAAATTTATTATTATTTATGAAACTTGTATACCACCCATCTCGCTGAGGCAACTCTGGAGGGGTTCAGTTCTGATACTGAAAGCAAGTGTTTAGGTTGACTTTGTCATCAAGGGTAACCTAAGCCTCAGTTAGAAGCCCCTGGTGCTTTATTGCTTAATTAAATACACACAGATTTGTCAGGCCTAAAATTTGCCCAGATTTTCATTACATGTTTAAGAAGAAAGCAGGCCAATCTCATTGGATCTTATTCATAAATTTGAGGTTGGTGTAAATTTAGAACAGTCACACTTTCCTCCTTGCAGTCTAGGTGGAAAACAGTTAATCAAAGGAACAAAAAAAAGGAATTGATAAATAGTATTTATTCAAAGAAAGGTTGAGGCCACAATACGAGTATTCCAACAGGTATCTTCAAATCTTATAGTATATTTCTGTTTAGGCAATTTATCATTGCAAAACTCTTGCCATTTCTTCTACTTTTTTTAATGTAAAGGACTGGAGGCTTGCCTCTTTTGGGAAAGCTGGACGGTCTGCATCTGTTTATTGCTTTGCTTTTTTAACAGTATAATGAAGTATTGGAATATTGATGCATTTATTATGAGCATGTTGGTATTGTTAATAGTATCTAAAAATCAAATTGCTCTATCTTGTTCTTTCTTTTTTTAAGGTTCTTTTGGTCCCTTTTGACTTTGGCTTATGTGTTTTTTTAATGGAAGTTCATTGGCTATAAAATCGATATATTCTCAGTTATATTTGTTATATTCACAGGATGATTCTGATTCTTTCAGCATGTGAATACTAAGAGTTTTGCAATAGAAGACAAAGGACTGCCTAAAGGCTTTTATTTTCATCTTAAAGATATTCAATTTCCCCCTTCTCTGCTAAGTATATATACGGAGCAATTCACATAATTAGGTGACCTAGAAATACTGTTAATAAGTATTAACAAGCTTGAAACTGAAAACTGTTGAACTTCCTCCGCAACAGTTTCATCCAGCTTTTTCTCTCTCCATTTCTGTCCGACAGGCCTAGATGCCTTTTCTGACTCTAATACTGTCTCCTGCATGACGGGCGTACACCACCTTCAAGCTCTAACTTCTCTCCACTACTGACTGCTGTGTATTTAGCAATTCCTTAAGATCTTTGTCACAGCTATACTTCCTGTAAAAATGGCCACTTCTTCAATGCTGGTGTCTCTCACATTTGGGACAGGGGATCCTCTTTCTCTTGTATATGTGTCGCTTTGCCAGATATGTAGTCTTCTAGAATGTAGTCTTAATAACCATTTGCTGTGTAACAGACGAGTAAACAAAACTAAGAATGAAAATTCATAAGTAAATGTTTCACTATAATGAAAGATAGTTTAAGCTATTACGCAAGAAATTAAAATAGCATGAAGGTTACTTTGACAAAGTAATTAGTTAAAAATAATTCAAACTGTAAGGTACATGCTTACATTGTATTTAGACTTATAACAGGGTTTAACATCAATATAGATGTCTTGACTTAATGCTTATTCAAAAGTAGCAGTGCTGTTTAGTATTCATGTGAAGATGCAATTATGCTTTTCTCTACTAATCTTGGTGATGGGTGACTTTGTGTATTTGTCTAATAAACTCAGTCCAACTGACGTCTGTCTCTGTCTTCTGCGTAGTACTTTCTTACCTTTTGTGTATGGAAAGATTTATTTTCTAAAAACAGCAAGGTATTAGTAACTTGAAATAAAGCATAAACAAGTTACTTAGAGAATAAAGTTAACAAAATATTTCACCATGTAAATTGGTCCTCTGGAAAATGTCACCAAATATATTATTGTAAAATTATGGCCTTGCATCTTAACTTTCTAGAAGTCTAGAGTGCAAGAACTTAAAATGTTTTGTGCTATCATATGCTTCTGTTCTTAATATGTTTGCTACGTATGAGCCAAATGAGATTGAGCCTCAATCAATTTTTGCTCACTCAGCTGTTACTATAATGCTACTGCTTGGTGGTGGGCTTTTGTTGTATTCTTATTACTGCATCATGGTTTGCATAGAATGCAATAATGGGTTAGATGTCTATGCTGCTAATAGAAATGTTGGCTATTGTGCAAGGAATTGCCTTTACCTATATACTGTTTTGATACAGGTCCATTTAATTTTATTGGAAATGAGCAATTAAGTGTTCAGATAATTAAATCATTTTATCTTATTAAAACTATCTACCAAAATTTGTTTCGTTGAAATGTATGAGAATTGTAATTCTTGGTTAACTTGTCATCATGGTTCAGTTAAAGTGATGCACCCCCGATAGATAATATATTGTGTATTTATTTTTAATCTGTTCATCTCAGAGTCATTATCACAGAAACTTAGAATTAAGGGTTCAAAGTGATCTTGGAGATTATCCACTCTATTAAGAATAACTTTTTGTTAAATCTTGTTTATATATTTGCTTATAACTTCAGTGATACTTGCTTATAACTTCAATGACAGCAAAACATAACCAATTGGTGTTTATTCGTGATCACTAAACTCTGACAAAGGATGAATGATTCTGTGGTTTTAAACGTGGTCATTTTTTTCAGGATGGCACTGGATCATTAAAACGCAGTGGTTCCTTTAGCAAACTTCGTGCTTCAATTAGACGCAGCAGCGAGAAGCTGGTTAGAAAACTGAAGGGAGGAAGTTCACGAGAAAGTCCTGGGTAATTATTTTTAGATGTGTTGCAACACATGGGAATTGAATTATGCCTAAATTTATGCTGCTGTGTAATGGGTTTATCTGCTGTGCGAATATACCAGAGTTTAATCAGGAAGCTGTTCTCATAAAAATGCAGTACAGAGGATGAAGTTGAAAGTTAGTCATAAATAGTTGTAAAAAGTTTGTAAACAGTATTATGGCTTTGTAAAAATTTTGACATTATATAAATGACTAGTTCAAGAATTGATTGCGCTGTCATCCTACATAGAATGACTAATGCACTTGGCTGGAATTTCAGCAGGTTCTCCTTAATAACAAATACGAGCCTTTTAATTTATTCTGAAAGTTATTAAGATTTAATTTAACATGAGAAATTAACCCATGTGTATAATATCTAATCAAACTAGTTTATTGAATCTGTACAGATCTGTTTAATTGGGACCTGTTTACATTTAATAAACATGTAAACATGAAACTTTTTTTCAATTCTCACATATTAATAAAAGCTGTTCATCTACTTTGTCTAGAATTCCTGCAAATAAACTATTGTTATATTAAAATGGACTGAAATTCTTTATCCAGTCCTTCTAATAAATAAAAGATATACTTGGTACCAATATCATCAGGGCTCCTTTTGAAATCTATGCTCATTCTTCCTTATGAATCTTATGGTTTGAATTTTTTTTCGTAAAAAGCATGAATAACTTTGTTATTCACTCCAAATATACAGAGATATGTTATCAGTCTGTCTGTCTGTCTGTCTGTCTCTCTCTCTCTCTCTCTCTCTACACACACACACACACACACACACACACACAGAGAGAGAGAGAGAGAGAGAGAGAGAGAGAGAGTTGTTTCCAGGTCTAAGGAAATAAACTTGACAGATTTTATTACATGAAAGTATTATTAACTTTTAAAAGAAGTTATACAATGCCATTTCAGTAAAAACAATGTAGACAGTCTGGTTGGAAATACGGAAACCAATCTATTTCTACCTATGGTGCTTTGAAAAACAGGTAACAGTAATAAAGGAAATGAAAGTCTTTCTATTAACGAGGAAAGCATCTAGATCAGATGTGATTGTTTTTTTGCTACAGTAAACATGGTTACTTCTGCCTGTGATTATCTTTTGACTTTGTCTGTAACCATCAAGGCCTTTATCCCATAATCTTTTCTAATCTGTCACGTTCCAGTTTGGAATATTTCCGTATTTAGGTTATTGATAAGACAGTTAAACATTTTTGGGATATTTTTTCTCTGAACTACTAGATTTTCAGTCAATAAATAATAGCAAAATATTTCCAAAACCATCTACTTCTTTCCTTAAAATATTCTTAAATGCACTTTTTGTTTCTTTCAAGAATATTTTTCTTTCTAAAACCAGCCGAGTAAAAAACAACTTAAAAATTTGTAAACATTTCACAGTTATTTTATATTGCATTAGCATAAGCTTTCATCAATTTTAAAGTTTGGTTTACAAATAAAATACTTAACTACTTTCATTGTTTTTCAAAGAGCAACCCACTTTGTTTTGAAAATATACATTCTATAAAATATTGTTAAATAACAGTATCATTTAAGTGCCCTTATTGAGATCTGCTATTTCTATTAATTTGAGATCCTTTTTTCTGATAAATCTATACAAGCGAAAAACCTTTCAGTTTTTGAATAGTATTGGATATGGGGAGAAGGAAATAAATTAAGATTTATTTATTACTTTTATAAAGTTCTATACACAGTTTTGAAAGAGAATTACCTATATTTTTAAGAAATAAAAAGGAAGGTTTAACAACTAAATTATGCCTTTATAATATTTCAGAGCTTGTTGATTAAAAAAATTACTGGAGTTCAAATACAATTTTATTTTTTTAATTTCTTACAATTGAAGTAATATCCTTCTAAATTCATAATTATTATTATTGGTATTATTACTTGTTTTATTTTTATTCTAATCCAAGCTACAGTATAGTATTTTCCCATCTTATTTATTCTAACTTTTCTTCCTTTTTTGGAATTCCTTCAGAAGAACTGCAGTGTTTCCCTCTTTTAAATAGAAAACATGTTTTTCCTTTTTGAACTATTGCTTTTATTTTTTTCGAGATGATTGTTTGCTTTCAAACTTTCCAATCCCTTCTCATTTGGTAAATCACAGTAGATGGGAGCATTCAACAAAACTTACCTGATCTCAGAAAAGTTAAGGATGGTCAAACTAGATAGTATTTGGATGGGAAATTATTAGGAAATCCCAGGAATGTAAATCATATGAAGAAATTGTTAAAATAAGAAAGAGGCAAATAATTTCTATACTGTGCCGAAAACAAAACATTACCCCACAACCAAATCCTATCTGCATATGTCTAGATAATTACCAGAAGATCAGCTTTGAGGTAGTTTTTGCATTCAGAGAAAAATCTTCGGTAGCTACATTGTTCATTATCCAGTGTGGAACTTGGTAGTCTTACATTCTATGTTAATTAACTTTATTTTGGCACAATTAAGTTGGCACTGAAGGAGTTTTATTTTATAAAAAAATAAATTCTGATATTCAAATTGTCACTGTAGATAATTATATATCTTCTCTTCTATATTACTTTCATGTTCCTATATTACTTTCATGCTGCTGCATTTCCTTAAATATGATTATTATTCTAAGAGTCAATAAACAATTTAAAACATTATTTATATAAAGGGCCGTGATGATTTTTAGATTAAAAATAGCAAGTCTCAGAGCAGTATCACAAACTGTTTTTGACAGCCTGTCTTAAGAGGCTTACACTCTTGGAAAACTGCTGTTGTGAATCATAAATTCATTGGTTCAAAACATGTATGACTTCTTGAGTTCTGCTGCAAGTGGGAATTTGCCCAAATAGAAGAATAACAAGATTCCAATCTACTTTTATTTAATACACACTGTTATATAGTTTAACTTCTAACTAATAGCTGATTTGAAGTGGTATCTGTCCATGATGATATTTATGTGTGATCAGTAAAACAATGGCCTGTAATGTCAATTTTTAGGGTTGGATTTGTTTTTGTTTTTTTATAGAACAATCTACACCACTACCCACCTCCAACTTGGAACTTGGGGCCAATTGTTTATTGAACATGCTTAAGGAAATCAAATGAACACTCAGCAGTAAATAATAGGTTTTTCTTTATTCAATTCTAACCTCTATTAGGCAGAATATGCTCAGATCAAATTGACTAGATTTAATTTTTTATTACAGACAAAATATAAACAGTGATTTCCCAGTGCAGTGCAAAGAAGTCACAGACTGTGTATATCTGTTCTCTATAGCCACAAGTCAACATTCTAGGCTTCTTCTTCCCACCTCTCTAAATTAACTGGTAGGCCTCTTGATGCTAATGTCCTTCACTTCAGTCTCAGCCCTTAGACACTCAGCCTTTACACAGCCCTGTCTTTAGTGGGCAATCTAGTGTTTATATTAGTTAAAATCCTCGGGATTTTTTTTTCTGTACCTTATTGATTTGTACTCGAAGGAATGGTGCTGCAGGAATTATAGTATCATGACCTGGTTGCAGATTCTAATGCAGCAGGAATTTTGAAACATGTGAAAACCAGATTTTGTCTTGTCAAAGATTTCCCATATACTGTACTACTACTATTTATATTCCAAAACAATTAAATTTATATCACCCTGGGTATGAAGTCAATTTTTTAAAATTGACTAATGTTTTAGTGTCATCTGTGGATAATTTTCATTTAAAAACTCAGATGTTCATATCTGTGCTGTGTTAAACATTTTTAGATTAACAATACATGTTTTAACAGTATATATAAATAATATGTAAATATTGCATGACTTACTACTTTATGTTGATAACACCTGTTTTTTAATATGCATGCATTGAAGTTCTTGGATATGCAGAAATATATTGTTATTGTTGGCTCCAATACAGTGTAAATATTTCTTATTTTGTTTAAAATAAATTTGCTTGAATTTCCAAGGCTTGTTATATTAATGGTGTGCATAGGTGAGAATATATGTATATGTATATGTGTGTGTGTATATATACTGGAACAAAGCTGAATACTATACATATATATATATGTAGGTCTAGGTGTTTTCGGGTCTCTTCCCGTGTAAGATTAAGAGTATCTTGGCGACGTTTTGGCGAGGTCCCACTCGCCATCCTCAGGCTGGTGTTTCAGCTGTGTCCACCTCGCCTAAACGTCGCCAAGATACTCTTAATCTTACACGGGAAAAGACCCGAACATGCCAAGACGTGCATACCTGTACCCGTGAAAATCTATATGTTGCTGGGACTGTCTTTTGGCTAAGCTGTGCCAAAAGATATGGTGTGCCTGTCTACTGATATACACTTGCTTCACTCACAACACAAATCTATAAGACCAAATAATTTCAGCCACCACAATATGATCTTTCCAGTGCAAGGAATAAACTATTGCAAACTTCCCATAAAAATCCCTTACCAAAATGACTAGTGTAAACTGACTGGGTAGTAATAGTCAGCTCCCTCATGTTTTTCATCCCAAAATATCCAAGATTAATTAATCACCCAACTTTACTGTTTAGACCTTAAAGATTCATAAGAATCCTAGCTGGCATATGTCTACAGTAATGCAAATGTTTGCTGTGCTGAGCACACCAAAAGTATAGAAAAATAGTAATTTGTATATTATGCTACTTGGTTTTAAATCTTTAAGGGCAAAACCTCTAAAATGTTAGAACCCCCTAAATTATTATAACTGTAGTTATATGTAGGATAATCATTCAATAAATCTTGGAATATACCATGGAAATTCTACAAGGTTTTATCTGCATTGTTACAGCTAAATATGATTATAATAACATCTTCTGGGGCTGAAGAGTTGATTACATTGTTTAATACAGTGAGGTTTGCTACCAAATCTCTGCAGATTGTGGATTTCAGTTGGCTAAGGTTTAAATATTCAGGCAGAATTTTGGCAATGCCTCATATATATTATATTCTACTATCTGTAGTCCAGATCAGAAAAACTATCTCCAGAAAAGAGAATCTCTAAAAACCAATAATTTAAATTAATGTAAATTTAATTTAAATTAAAGCTATTAAGGAACAAGTCAAGATGGGCTATCATTTGTCCACTTAGTTACTAAAAATGAATTACATGTTCTTAACTAAGGATATTTTTTAAAAATGTAGATACCGGTAGTACTATATCTATCTTTAAAATAATGATTTAAAACAGTACGATAGTGAGTTTTAGAAGTTCTATGGTGGGATTTTCCAGTTCAGAGCAAAATAATTTAATTGTTAATAAAATGATACTTAAAATAATTTTAAATTTTATGACCTTTGTGATAAATATAGGAAAATGTGTATATACTAAATTGTATTTCTTTCAGTCATAACGGTGTTATTAGTGTAGGAGTTATTTTCTTGTAATATATGTTTTGTGTATTCAGAGCTTTCCATTTTCAGCTGTTCTGATTGGTTTATCATTGCATGTTCACTGTCCAGCATGAAGCGTGCCAGTTCAATGAATATTCTTAACGTGGGTGGCAAAACAACTGAAGATCATTTTCAAGTAAGAAGACCTATAATACTCTTATGCAACTAGACGTTACTGGCAGGGCTTAAAATAGCTATAGGTAAAATGATGAATTTGGGCATATGAGAACCCAAACTCATACATGGAACTAAGTTTGATAGTGTTTCATTCCTAATTTTATGTCATAACACTGCGACAACCTATTTCAAAGCTTCTAGTATGTAGGCCCAACAACTTTATTTAAAATAGCCATCAACTTTTGCAGTTTTACCCTTTTATATACTGTTGACTGCTGCTAATTCATTGCTCTTTCTATTCTCTGAATATTTTAAGGCACAAATTCCAGTGTTGTCAATAGAAACAATAAGTCTTTCATACAGATAGCAAATGAGGTGACAGAACCATGCAGTTCAGACTACATTCAGGTGTTGTGTAATTGAACATGTCTTCTTGGGTTGTGGATTTGGATTGCTTGCATCTGTCTACGTATGCTATTTTGTAGAAGAGAGTAAGTAATAAATGTAGTATGAATGAAGCTATCTGGAGACTGATAAAGATAATTGGCTATATGTGAAAAAAAACACATATTATACTGTCTTTCCCATAATAGGCAAGCAGAGATTAATAGAGTTGTGAGAGGCATCTGTATGCTATTTATAAATAATTTCAGGTAGCAGACATTTATTGTCTTATGTATGGACAATGTTATTCTGTAATGGCTTGTAGTATAAAGGCATTAGAAGTTACACATAAACTCACTGATATTCAAATCCCCCTTGCAGAAATATTCTCCTTTTTATACTATTTTACTGTATCATGGTTTTTCAAAATCATCAAAATGCTTTTTCTGAACCATACTTGTCTTCAACCTTGATTATTAAGGGAAAGCAGACAAACTGTTATTGACTGCTTTATGTTCACATTTCCTGACGTTTGCAAGGTTACCTTCACTGTCCAGGCATTTTAAGTGACTATTGGAGTTTAGTGTCACACTGATTAGGATTAAAATATATCTGTACAACATCCAGCATACTGATGCATTTAAATGTCAATCTGCAGCACTTTGGCAGTTGTGTAAATTGGATAATTAGTCTAGAAGGCAATTAACAGTGGAAGGAATTCTGTGTGGCTTTTCCAATTTGCCAGCTTTTGCTAAAGCCAGAGGCTACTCAAAGAGCTTGGTTTACTCTCTAGAGCAGAGGTGTCAAACTGTATTTCATTGAAGGCCACATCAGAGTTGTGTTTGACCTCGGGGGGCCAGGGTGAGTGTGGCCAGCTCAACATCACCCATGTCAGGGGCGCCTGTGGTGGCCCAAGCAGTCTGCCAGGGAAATGGGCTCCCGAGTTCTGTTTCTGGCTGTGACAGCCTCCTGCAACCCTCTGCCAGTGAAAACGGAACTCGTGAGGACTGCATAGCACTCTCCTGAGCTCCTTTTTTGCAGGCAGAGGCACCACAGGGTGGTCCTTTGATATTTACAAGCCGGCCCTGCAGGCCAGATCTAAGCATCCCGTGGGCCTTGAGTTTGATACCCCTACTCTAGAACAACTTTAATCTACCCCAAGGGGCAGTAAGTAAAAATAAATTGTGCCCCTGAGTAATTACAGGAAGATTTACACTTAAAAAATATTTTCAAACTCCAACCAATACTTTTTATAAAGATTGTTTTTCAAAATTCAATTTCTATATAGTACTTGCTAATGAAAATAATTGGGTAGGCTACAATCTTCCACGGGGGAAAAATGAGATCTCAAAATATTAACCCAGTCACATTTTAATAATGTCTGCATGAAGATTCTCCTTCACATGTCTTAATATTTGTCATGTTTGATTTAGTAGTCTTGTTTAAATGACTAGTGTTATGTTATGGCTGTTAACTAACCCTATAATTTCAACTAACATAGATGGCAATGTAGCAGATCTTTCAATATTAATGCATAACACCAGGAGAGTAAAAAACCTACACACGAGTAGTTCCAGTTGTCTGAAATATTCTTGCATTTATATAAAGCCCAAAATAAGATACCTAAAGCAATTAAGAATTTCAGTTTTAAAAATGGAACTATTTATAACTGGAATATAATAACATGAGTTAATAAAAGTAAAATAGTTGGAGGGATAAAGTCTTCAGTTTTTGAGGCGTTTGTCTTAATAAGGTTGTAAAGCTAAATATTTAATTAATAATGAGGCCACAATAGCATCATAGGCACCCCTCCCTTTCCTTGAATCTGTACAGAAGTTTGATCAGATATGAAAAAAGGTAAAATAGTCCTATTTTTATAATATAATATAAATATATGATATATGATGTGCATTTTATATTACAAATAATCATAGCTCTTAGCATTTTCAGGATGCAACATTGTATTTTTTCTTGTTTGCTGAAGTTTCTATATTTTCATGAGTTCTATATCCTGTGGCAGAACTTGTTATCAGTCAGTGTTATCATACAAACCATAGAATTTAGGATTGTTAAAAACTTCCAAGATACCTTAAGTTCTGATAAAACAGCTTTGAAGATCTTTCATGCTCACATGCTATCTTAGAAACATATTTTTAATTGCTCACTTCCTAAAACAAGTACGATAAAAAAAATTCTGATAATCCAATTGGCTACTTTGTGTAATAAAGAATGATTTGACTGAACACGTGTTCTTCAGATAACCACAGTTTGAGAACAGAAGCAACTGCTTCCAGGTTTGTGCTTGTGGTGAAAAAAGGTACTTTAATTCGGAGCTTTTTGGATTCCTCTTTAAGGAACTGAATCAGGCACTGATAAAGATACGAAATGTTCTTGTTGCATGTTGGAATAAAGTTTATCTAGATAACTGAAAGTGTGTTGAACAATCTTGAAATTCAGTTAAGATCCTAAAACTAATTTTAGGTAAACAGTACCAGTCTTTTGTTTTTTTATTTTGGATTACCATGTATTTTGTTCATTTGGAGTTTGTATTTTTCAATGACTGATTGCACAGTTTACAACTATATATAAACTCTTTTTGTTCTCTTTCCTATGCAGGGACGAACTAATTGTCTGACAGATTCAAGAGCTAAGAGTGTCAGTCACACTGATTTGGCCCACTGAGGTTCTGGAACAGATGCTAGCTAAAATATTCGTATGAATCATGAAGCACTGAGATTCAGAGGTTTTGGGGGTCCCCATTATGATCTTTTTAGCACTTTCTAGGTTAAAGACATAAGAGAATGGACTATTTCTAGGCTCTCTTAAAATAACTGGCATTTTAAAGAATCCTAGCGTTAGCAATTAGCTTCTTTCTGAAGCATGCTGAGTTTGTTGCATTGTTACTAGCAAATTGGAGTTTGTTACAGATAGCTGTATAGCAGTATTCATAAGCAGAGGAAAATATGCCCACAGAAAGGAACTGAAATACAAAAAATGCAAAAGCTTTCCTCAACATGCTGTTTTAAAACTGTTACAGGAACATCCATTTTTAACTATGTAAGCATCTGCTAGAATGAGATTTACATTAAGTTCATCGCTGTAAGGAATAAGGACTTTGTACACATTATATATAGATTACAGATATGAAAATCGTCATGTAGCTTATGACATTCAGGTTTGAAATCAAGAAGGCACGATACTGGTTAATTGGAATGGAATAACTTTGACACCTCTTGAAAATGACAATAGCCAATTTATTGTGGCTTTCTTCAGTCTAAAAAATAATGAAAGTGGTGCAATTTACTTTAACCTGGAAGAGAAAAGCAGAATAAGCTAAACCCATCAGGTTTTCAGTCTTCATTTCAATCCCACAGAATACTCCTTTTTTTCCTCAGTCCAGAATTGTAAGAAATTGTTTGCCCTCTTGAATCTGACTTCTATTTCAGTTTGGAGGGGAAAAATAAGTACTGTACTGTGAAGTTGTGGCTTGCAAGAGGATCTCGTAAGAAATTTGTCAGGATGAACAAAAGCCAATTAGTGGCAACTTTTTCAATCTTCCATTGGTTTATTACTTGTTTGGATGATAAAGTCTTTCTCTTCTCAGGGGACTAGATAAGAAAGGATGTTTATCTGTTTCCATTTTGCAATACTATTATTTGCAAGCAGGAAGTAGGAAATGTGTCCAAGTCATGATTGTATGCCAAGAAAATTAAATCTCTGGCCACTAGGAATAACTGAGCTAAATTAATTTTGCTTACTTTTTTGCAGTACAATCAATATTAATGTGAACTGCAGAGGTTAAAGCACTAAAAGGGGAATGTATTCTAGTTTTATAAAAATTACATGTAACAAGATTTGTGGTGAAGCTACATCAGTCTAGTCTTTAAATGAAAACTGAGGTCTGGTCAATGCTGCTGACTATATAGAGGTTTTGCATATCATTTGCATATCATTTGCAAATCTCAGTGAATTATACTTGCTGGTTCACAATGGAGTTGGTTATATTGTTCTTAACCATCTTCGTTAAATTCTAAAATTCTGAACTGACTTTGGAAAGCAAATATAAAGAAACCAAAAAAGCTGATGTAAGATACAATGACTCTCCATTTTAAAGTTGTTGTATTTGGATTCCTGTCTGAAAATGCTGAAAATTACCATTGGTGGTATATTCTAATACAATTTCAGCCTGTTACTCAAAGTGGACAATAAATACGCCTTATTCAATATATTTTTGAGAATAAGAACATAAAATTTAAAGGTCTTTGGAATGAAGTGGTTAGGTTATTAAAATAATACTAGTCTCCCTTATTTTTAACAATTTTCCCATTTTTATTTTCTTAAGGAGAAAAAGATACATAAATAAAATGTCCTTTGTATGGTAACATGGTTGTGAGTTACATTGTCCTTTGTGTTTAATAAACATTTTTTTCAAATGAATATTCATATTTATCTTTATATTGTTATAAAATTACCTCTTGCATGCATACAGTTTAAATGAAAGTTGAAAATATATGCTGCCAAAAAGTTGAAGGGGGGCAGCCTTTTAATACCATCTTATTTTGATCTTATAACAAAGTATAATAGTATGCTTAGAGGAATGAAGCACAACAGCTGGCTCTTCATTTGGCGGGACTAAAATTTTGATCTGTCCAGTAGAACGTATGAATATTGTTACTTTATGTCCTCCAAAGGAGATGAAATAAATTCTCAGAATTTTCAGGATATCTAGACTTAAAATTCTGGAAATTATAGGAAAATCTACTTTTAGAAGATAAATCTAGTATGTTATGTATTATGAATAAGCAAATGACCTAAAATATTAATATTGTCTCATGGGAAATAAATGTTTATGGCTAATCTGTATAACTCTGCTAAACTTGGTTCTTAGTATCTGACTATCCTGCCTTGCTTATTATGGATCTATCAGTGAATAAGAAATGAGAGAAAAAATTTACCTGATACTTTTCTTTGAAGCAGTTTACTCAGTTCATTTGATTAGAAAACTAGATATACACAAACCTATGGTTGGGCCATGCTGTGCAATGGGTGGTTGTGATAAGTTATCACTCTACTGATATACTATTGAGGAAATTATGGCTATAGTATATCTTATCTTCTGCAATGTTACAGAAACAGTTACCATATATTTCCAGCTCATGATACAAACAGTTTAGCTTTTCACTAATTTAAGTGAGTATTGTAAAAAAAATAAATCACCATTCATTTCATTAGAATCTTGTATTTGGTGCAAAAATAACTTTGGTTTGTGCATCTGTTGTACCCATTTGAAGAACTCACCAGCATGGGGGTTCTTCCTGAAGATTGCCATTTCTCACGACTCTGGGGTTTTTAACTAAAACAGCTATGAATTGAGAGCTCAATTGCAATATTAATCTATCTGATATCTGCACATTAGCTGTCTTGACAGCAACATTATTCAGATAGATTTTTTTCCTCTTTAGTTTTTTCTTTAATTTTAAAATAGTATAAGTGATGGTGGTAATCTAAATTGCCTGTTACATTATATCTTTTCTTGGACAATATTGTTAACTAGTACCCAGGTCACAATTTTATTTGTATTATAAAATAAATAAAAATATGTTGCAATATTAAATATAGTTTACCTAAGCTACATCTTTAATAGATGTTCCTATATCCATTTAGGATACTCAAGAATATAATTAGCCACCATACAAGTCTTTGAAAGAAACATTGGGGTTGGGCTAGAAGACCTCCAAGGTCCCTTCTAACTGTTATTCTGTTAACATGATGATCTAGAACACTTGCCTTGCTTGATTCAGTAGTTATTCATAAATATATGAAAAATTGGCATTAGTAACATCTGGTTTCAAGAAAATGCTTCATGGAAAACAATTCAGATGACATTTACTACAGATATCCCTCTTTGCAAGCAGGAATGCTTTTTAGGTTTAACAACATGTTAAATCAGCTGGCTAAAAGATGTTTTGTGTTAAACTAGTAATTCCACTGATTATGGAAAATTAAATATTTTTATTGTATATATTTCTGAAGCAGGTTGTGTAGTGTTTTACTGAATTTGTTTACAATGTTGAAATACACCAATTTGTTAACAAGGTCAATTTTCCCACTGAACTCTGCTACTGAAATCATCTGAAGTACAAAATTCATACTTGTAACATAAATCCATGTAAAAAATATTTTGCCAGAACATATTTATATTTTGCTGAAATTATGAATATTCCTTTAAAAATATGAAACTTTATTTCATTATTGTATATCGCAATATTAAATCAGAAAAAAAATGTTACTTTTAAAAACACACTACTGTAATTCTTAATCAGTGTGTAATTATCAATGTGCAATTCTATGGCTTCAGATAGTAAATTAAATAGTTTTTGTACCCTGTATGTATGACTTATCGCAACTGGATGTAACTAATGGCATTTCATCTGTGCACTTTATGCATGGAAGCACTGATGGGGCTATTGTGTAATGGCAGGATATTCAGCTAAACTGCTGAAATGGAGGAATTCATGTACCCTTTTGAAACTCGCTTCAGAGCACTTAAGGATACCATAATCGGAGAAAAAGCAACAAAGCAGCAGTTTAAAAAAGGAAATAAATTGTATAGGTAGTCCTCGACTTACAACAGTTCATTTAATGATAGTTCGAAGTTACAACGGCATTGTTTTTCACACAACTGTGGCAGCATCCCTATGGTCATGTGATCAAAATTCAGACTTTTGGCAACTGACTCACAGTTATGATGGTTGTAGTGTCCCAGGGTCATGTGATTACCTTTTGCAACCTTCTGGCGAGCAAAGTCAATGGGGCAGCCGGATTAATTTAACAACCATGTTACTAACTTTTAAAAACTGCAGTGATTCTCTTAACAACAGTGGCAGGAAAGGGCATTAATGGGACAATGTTCACTTAACAACTGTCTTGCTTAGCAACAGAAAATTTGGGCTCCATTGTGGTTGTAAGTTGAGGACTACCTGTAGTTCAAAATAGTATAATTTTAACACTGGAAAATATTAAAATGGAAATAGGCTAAATCAATCTTTTAGATTTGATTCTCCATATTTTATTTTAAAAAATTGCATTCTTTAAAACAGAACTGTTCTAATGAGGAATTTTATTCTTACACGAAGAAATCATGCATGATAATTTATCTGCAAAACTAAAAAATGGCTCTTTTAAAAGTCACAGTCTGTTTTTTTAATTGGAAAAGCATATTTTCAATTTGCCACAACAATTTCCTTCCTCTGTTTGGATTCTTAAATGGATGTTAAAGTGAAAATATTTGCCTTAGGCTAAAGAAGCAGACTTTCTTCAGAAGTGTATAGCATGGTGTCTTTTGTTTTGTTTTAATCTGTTACAGAGTTATGAAGTATTTGTTTCATAAAGCTTTCTTGTTACTCTCAAAGTGTAAAAATAAAGAGTCAAACAGAGCTAGATAAATGTGGTTTCTTTATTAAAGGGGCAGAAATGTTCTGTGCATGAAATGTTAACAGTCCTCAATACTGGTTGCTTAGCAACCATTGGAAGTTCAAACAGACCGGGTACTTCAGTCCAAATTTGAAGTTCCAAAAGTGTGCTCCCCCTTACACACACATGACTGTACAAACCAGTCCATCTTTACAGCCCTTTGCAGTATTCTGTGATCACGTTTTACGAAATTTTGCTGAAAACCAACATTTACTTCTGGGTTTTAGCAAAACTATACCTGTAGTGAACCATTGGTTCACTTAACAATCACTGGATTTGATTAACAACTATCACAAAAAAGAACTGTTAAAAGTGGGGATTTGCTTTATGGCCATCACGAGTTACAACATAGCAACCAGCTGTGAATTCTAGGAGTTGAAGTCAAACATCTTAAAACATTATCTTAGGAAATAACTATGTTCAAAGAAACTTATGTTCTCCTTGTTCTCTCAAACCATCTTTTTTGTAATTCCACCCCATTACCTTATAGAATCCACCCTGCTAATGTATATACATGATATGCTGCTATATCCAATCCATTATTTTGCATAATTCTCTACAGAAGGCTGCATCCCTAACTTCTGCATATCTAAAAAACAACTTGTGCTTCAAGATTATTGTGTACTGATCCACATTTCAAATGAACATTTCGGGAATTTATGAAAGAAATTTATCCTACAATATACAATCTTGACTAATGCAGTCTGTTTCTCGGTGGAGAACAAGGTTTTTTCCTTAAAAATGTAGCATTAAATTTGGGAGAAAGTGCTATTTTCTTAAATACCCTGAAGAATATTGCACTGGAGACAAGTACATGTTTTGTTTAATCTGAACTGTTTGTTTTATCTTCAGGTCATCGTTCTATGAAACTTAAGACAACATAATGAGACACAGAATTAAATATTTTCAGGAAAACAATCCAGCCAAAGTCAAGTGTATTTTATTACTTTGGAAAATTTCTAAACATATATTCAACTATTAATAAGCCTGTAGTTTATATTAGGAAAGCTGAATGTTGGCATTGTAAACTTAAATAATCTTCATCTTTAGTTGCTTAACCAAACAGTCATCTAAATTTTTGTGGTAAAACAATCAAACTTCTGCAATCTGCTTGAAATGAAATCTAATAAAAGTTGTATCATTTAATTCTTCCAGTCATGATGGAGATAAAACACGCCCACCATATAGTTCCCAAACATTTCTGACATAATTAAAACTTTAAAAAAGATTCAGTGTTAAATGAAAATCTAAGATTCTCCATTGCTGCTGTGGCACTCAACATTTGTTCATAGTATGTTAAAATGTTATTACATTACATTACTTTAATATTTACATGGCTTTTTGATAATTTTTATTGTTAAACATGATTTAAAGTACATGCAAATTGCCATATAGTATTAACAAAAAATTAAAAGCTTTAAGCTTGAAAAAAAGCTTAATAGTGTATTGATTATTAAGAAAGAAAGAAAGTCTCATGTATTCTTACAGAGAAAATTTATTAGCAGGACAAATATTTTATTTGGACAAATAAAGAGTCCAGGATTTTCTATCCTTGTGTGGCCACAAGAAGCTGCTGCATTTTAATTGATTAATTTCACAATTTACTAGAATGTATGCAATATGCTAACCAAAACATTGTGATCTGAAGATGTTTTAATGAATAGGATCAACTAGGCTAAATATTATTTGAACAGGACTTCCTGTGATAATGGGAATCGTTTAAATACAGTGTAATAAAATATTTCTAGACACAAAATACAAAGTGAAGGAATACTCTCCATTTAATCATCCATAAATTGCATTGAGAAGCTTCTTCTTGCAGAAATCTATTACAGCATTTAGGAAAAACATCTCCCAAAATATGATTTGGAGAAGGTGTATAACAAGTACGGTATATAGGCACAGTATTTGACAATGATATGAGAATAAGTGAATCAATCAGCAGACAGTCTCTGCTCATCCCATGAAATCTACCAGTGGTGCATATGGATATTTCAAGTCCCCCTAATGAAATAGTGTCATCTATTAGGATTTGGAAAGTTTGTCTTCTATGTTACAACATCACCCTATAGAATTTCATTCCCATCAGATTTTGATTATCCCAACTCTGAAATGACTTTTGAGTCTGTTGGGATTTGGCCTTAATCAACCTCTACTGCGAAGGATTTTAAAATGTTTTTAGCCATGTATAAGCTCCCCAGAGTTACTACTGGCAAGTTGGGTAGCCACATGAATCATTTAAATAAATAGTAAATAAATATGGACATTTAAGTCTTATTATCTTTTCCCCCTAAGATAGGGGACATGAGGTCTTTATCTGCTAAGTTTCATCTCTTGGGGTTCTTGTATATTTTAAATTTAAATCTTTAGAAATTTAGAAAATCAAATTATTTTTCCCCATGTGGAGACTGCAATGGAAGTTACCTATATTTACATTTAGTGCACAGGCAGAATATAAATATGACCTCATAAGTTAAAACAGCAAAAAAAGTTTTAAAAAGACATTTTCAAATTTGTTATCTTAAAAGATAAACAAGGGACCCAACTAAATCTCCCCAGGAAAATAATTTCCCAGCCATGCTAGTAAGTTGCATCACACCATTAATAGTCTACCCTGACTTTAAGACTGCAGCATGTTTAAATGGATTTCAGCCTAAGCACTTTCAGTGCAGCATGTTAATCCTGTGTTAAATACATGTAAATGTAATTGCTGACAGCAAAGAATTTCCTTTATAGAAATAGTTTAACTTTCAAAGGTTTTTCAGTTCAAAATTATTTGATCAGATGTTTGTAATATATCTGTTTTATGCTGCTAAAGGGGATTCTTTTATGAACTGAAGTTTTGTTGTTCTATTTTTGTAGTTTAAACTGGAGTTCAAATTATTATTTGCCTCCATTCTGAGAGCACAGTCCAGTTCAAATAATACAAGAACTACTGAGCAGGCACTTTGCTGAGCAGACAGGATAATGCAATAAATAGGATGATACAAGCACAGGAACAGATTGAGGATTTTTAATATATTAGCTCCGTTTTATACTGAAAAATGATTAAAAATACTGCTTTACGTTTCTTCATAATCATGACTGATTTTCCTGATTCCTTTGACACCTTCCAAATTTACAGTATAATAGCAAAAATGCTGGGGCAAATGAGGCGCAAAAATAATTCTTAATATTCGGAGCTCACTTTTACTATACAGTGTTTCTCCACCAGTCAGTGCTTGGTTTACAGTACGACACACCATCAATCTCATCAACAGCTGGTTAGACCAAGTTATTCCCAGTGCTGGAACAACAGTCCTGGCTGAGCAGCTGAAACACAAAGCCTGCAATTACAAAATATTCTACTCAAGAAGATTTCTGTTGGGCAGAAGTGTGGTTGGTCACAGCCTCACTCATCACAGTTACTGTTTCAATGAAGCAGAATCCATCTAAAATCAGGTGTTTTCACCTTGTGTTTCGGGCTAGCCACAGAATCCAATAACAATTCTTACATCATTCCAACTCAAAATGAGTTATTATAGGTAGGGTGAAAAGAACCCAGTATCAATAGAATAGAATTGAATAGAATTGAATGGAATGGAACAGAACAGAACAGAATTGAATTCTTTATTGGCCAAGTGTGATTGGACGCACAAGGAATTTGTCTTTGGTGCAAATGCTCTCAGTGTACATAAAAGAAAAGATACATTCGTCAAGAGTCAAGAATCATAAAGTACAACACATGCACACTATTGCACACATACAACATATGAGATATATGTTTAGATCTCTTTCTCTCACTTTGTATGTATGTGTGGGTGTGCATGGGTGCATAAATGTGTGCTTGCTGAATTTTTTTCCACTCACCTTTGAGTATTCCAAACAGCATTTTTCCTCTCATTCATTGCATCAGTTACCTAGATTATGCAAAAGAAACAGAAAGAAATGTACATTCAATGCTTTGTCAGCATGTAGTAACAGGAAAGAAAAATAGTTTTACTTCAAATAAAATACTTTGGTTAAACCAGTTAATTAACCAATATTAATTCTGGTGAGACACAAAATTTTACTTGCAAACATTCCATTCTTAACTGTGAATTTCATTTAAGTGATTAAATCAAGGTCCAGTCAAATAGTAAAAACCAGTTAGATGCATATAACTCTCCTGAAATTAGTGAGATGTTGCTTAAGCCAAGCAAACTGCAATCTTACCTGATTAATGCATATTATGGGGGTCTGGAACCTGCTGCTTAATCTGTGAAGTTTTGCCCCAAATCTCTGTAAATATTTAGCTTTTGGGAGAGAATCTGTAGCACTGAATTCACATCTGAACAAGGCAGCAATGGAGTCGATAATAATTAGCCGCACCATTCCTCTTGAGAGTAGCAAGCTAAGTCTCTTAGTAATGCATTCATGGAAAGTGTCCTATAATAAGAAGGAAATACAACAGGATGTCTGTCAAGAACAGCACAGTTGTAAAAAAAAATCTGTGCTCCAGTGGATGTACAGTAATTACTACAATAGCCAGAGTAATCCTTATTCCAAGTTTTTGTATTTGTTTGCAATGCAGCAAACAGTAAATTGTATACTCAATCCATCAGAGCTTTACTGAGTCAGGAAGCTGAGTGAGAATTACAGCAATGTTGCAAATCTATGCACATTATTTTGAGATTAAGCCCCAATTAAACCCACTGAATGTATAATAGGATTACATTAAGATCTTTACAGCAGGATTATTGGTATGGCTCCTCACTCTAAAACAATCGCTTGCAAGAATAAATATCCTTTTTCCATGCTTGTAAATATGATTATTCAAAGCTTCTTCCTGCCAAAGTGTACAAGCATTTCCTAACCAGTGATGTTTTTTCCAGGGTTTCAAATAGGGGTCAGTCCCCTGGCATGGGTCCTGCCTAATGTCACCATCAGCACTGAAATAAGTACCAACAGAAAAGGATTAACTGTGGTCAGCACAAATTGATTTAAGTCTCCTAAAAGAAATTACCCCACTCCAAACTGAAATATATCCACTAACTGCAGAGCTCTGCTGCATTATACTACCACTGCAACCCACAAGCCATTTATAAGGTGGTATAGAATGAATCTGTTTTTCTCTGCACAACTTTTATTGTATGTTCCTGATGGAGCATCAAACTGGGAAGCGAGGAATATAGCTGACAATCATTCCAGTGAACAATAAAATGCAAGAGAAATATACTGGAAATCAAGTTCTTATCAATACATTAATGCATCCATTTACCCTTCTGGCTACTGTTCTAGTAAGCTGAAACAGCCTCCCGCCCCAATGACCCATTCCCTATTCATATTTAGGAAGGTGGCTAAAATGGAGTTACTCAAAAGCACTTTACATGTTGTCACTGGGAGATACTATGTCAATATCATAATGGGTAAATTAAGACATTACCCTGTGATTTTTATCCTGTACTTTATCTGTTTTATACTATAAAGTGCCAGGAATCTATATGGAGTATTAATATACTGTTCAAAAAAATAAAAAGAACACAAAAATAAGACATCCTACATGTGAATGAATGAAATATTCTCATTAAATACTTTGTTCATTACATAGTTGAATGTGTTGATAACAAAATCACACAAAAATTATCAATGGAAATCAAATTTAGCAACCCATGGAGGTCTGGATTTGGAGTTACACTCAAAATTCAAGTGGAAAAAAACACTACAGGCTGATCCAGCTTTGATGTAATGTCCTTAAAACAAGTCAAAATGAGGCTCAGTAGTGTGTGTGGCCTCCACGTGCCTGTATGACCTCCCTACAATGCCTGGGCATGCCCTTGATGAGGTGGCGGATGGTCTGAGGGATCTCCTCCCACACCTGGACTAAAGAAATCCCCCAACTCCTGGACAGTCTGTAGTGCAATGGGGCGTTCGTGGATGGGGCGAGACATGATGTCCCAGATGTGCTCAATTGGATTCAGGTCTGGGGAACGGGCGGGCCAGTCCATAGCAGCAATGCCTTCATCTTGCAGGAACTGCTGACACACTCCAGCCACATGAGGTCTAGCATTGTTGTGCATTAGGAGGAACACAGGGCCAACCGCACCAGCATATGGTCTCACAAGGGGTCTGAGGATCTCATCTCGGTACCTAATGGCAGTCAGGCTACCTCTGGCGAGCACATGTAAGGCTGTGCAGCCCCCTAAAGAAATGCCACCCCACACCATTATTGACCCACTGCCAAACCGGCCATGCTGGAGGATGTTGCAGGCAGCGGAACGTTCTCCATGGCGTCTCCAGACCCTGTCACGTCTATCACATGTGCTCAGTGTGAACCTGCTTTCATCTGTGAAGAGCACAGGGCGCCAGTGGCGAATTTGCCAATCTTGGTGTTCTCTGGCAAAAGCCAAACGTCCTGCAGGGTGTTGGGCTGTAAGCACAACCCCCACCTGTGGACGTCGGGCCCTCATACCACCCTCATGGAGTCTGTTTCTGACCATTTGAGCAGCCACATGCACATTTGTAGCCCGCTGGAGGTCATTTTGCAGGGCTCTGGCAGTGCTCCTCCTGTCCCTCCTTGCACAAAGGTGGAGGTAGCGGTCCTGATGCTGGGTTGTTGCCCTCCTACGGCCTCCTCCACGTCTCCTGATGTACTGGCCTGTCTCCTGGTAGCGCCTCCATGCTCTGGACACTATGCTGACAGACACAGCAAACCTTGCCACAGTTCGCATTGATGTGCCATCCTGGATGAGCTGCACTACCTGAGCCACTTGTGTGGGTTGTAGACTCCGTCTCATGCTACCACTAGAGTGAAAGCACCGCCAGCATTCAAAAGTGATCAAACCATCAGCCAGGAAGCATAGGAACTGAGAAGTGGTCTGTGGTCACCACCTGGAGAACCACTCCTTTATTGGGGATGTCTTGCTAACTGCCTATGCTTTCCACCTGTTTTTTTTTTCAATGAAATTTTATTAACTTTCAAAAAGAATACACAAACAAAACATAAGACATAAGAACATAAAACATCTTTTCTAACAGCTACTTAACAAAACAAATAAGACATCTCATTTAAGTACAATATAGTTCTAAATTATCACATTTCCACACACAACTTAATATGCATCTTATATATTCAACTTCATATCTTATTACTGTTTTCCACCTTCTTACTGTTTCTTCCTTTATTTCTATTCAATTTTATTCATTAAACTTATACTTTCATATATTTCATATTACTATATTTCATATTGTTACTATTTCATATGTTCTTATCCAACATTACTCCTCAATAGACAAATGTAGACTAACAAACACATAACATAAAGAATATAAAACTTCTTTTTAGAAAGCGGCTTAACCCCGGGTTATAAATTTTGGTACAGACGTAAATTAAATTCATGCTCAGCTTATATACTATTTCATATCTTATTTAAAATTCTACATTTTACATATATCTTCTCCACTCTTTTCACTCTCTTAATTCTACTTTATTTATTTAATCTCAATTTAAATCATTACACTTGTATCTTTTGTCCGTTCTTTTTCAATTATCCATTTATCTTTCTCTTAAGCACAAACTTTTTCCTGTAATGACTGGTTGAAGTATGACACCTTTCTATTTTCCCCCCAAATTCAACACTTAAAATTAAACATTATTTCTATTCTGATTCTGCTTAGTACATTCTACATGACATTTTAAAATAAAAAACATAATAATCTTATAGTATATTAAAAATAGTGTTCCATAACCAATTAGTTAATTAAACATTAATTACACAATCCCTACAATATTCTATTAACACATATTTCAAATACAAATATAAAATACAGTCTTGTGTACCTTTGCAGAATCTCTATTTAAATTATATTTTACCCTTTATCTCTGAAAAAAAATTGTTTATTAACATCTTGTTTAAAATCTTTATAACTTCCCTTCGCTTTGTCCCTTCCTTCCTTATCAAATCTAACCTTTTTACCCCCTCCTCTCTCAATCTCCAACTTTTTAATCTCCCCTCTCTGTTGTATTCCTCTTTTCCATTGCTTTCCATCGTTATATCGATTTTTCACCTTACTTTTCCCTTTCTTAATTGTTTTTTTAGAACTCAAATTCTTGATTTTCTTCTCCTTTTTACCCTTTTTTAAAATCATATGTCCATTAAAGATGGCTTCTTCTTCATCGTCCCAGTCTTTTCCTTGTTGCATTTCCTGGTAAGCAGAAATCGCCATTTCTAAAAAGCAAAGATAGATCCAAAAGAGCCCTCTTCCTCTTCTCTTAGTCTTTCAAACTGCATTTTCAATTCTTCAAAAGATACCATTGTAAAAAGAAAAGGATTTTTTTTTTAAGCAATCCAAATGTTTTCTTAGTCTTTCAAAAGATAGTTAAAGTCCCGAAGTCATCAAGCAATCAAAGTCAGCACAATCAGCATAGTCTGTTTCACTTTCTTACTTGCTCTTCCTGGGGCAGAATTCAATTACATAATTCCAAGATATTTTTTGGAAGTTTTATTGCGATTTAATCTCTAATCTTATAAAACTCCAAGCAGTCTCCTTCAACAAACGTTAGTATAAATCATTTACCTCTCTTCCCTCCCACTTAAAGCAAGAAGATTTGGGTTTTAAAGTATCAGTATTTAAGAATGTAATTTCCCCTTGGCTTCAATTTTGAAAGTTAGTACCTTCTGCTGCCAATACGGGTGTTTCCGATTTCCATCTGCTGTCTCCGTGGGAAGGAAAGTGAGGAGAGAAAAATCTTTCCCTTTACTCTCCACCGCAGCTTAACGATCCTCTGGGAAACAATATATCACTTGAAAAGCCAAAGTTCCAGGGTATTCAGATGTTAATTGTTGTCCCGGTTCAGCCAAAAGCTTTCTCTGTCTTCTCTTCCTTCAGCACACCTCCTGCACAATCTTTTCCAGATGCCAGCTTCTTAGTGGCGGCCATTATGACCGCCGCTGCATCGTCTTGAGAAAAGGAGGTTAAAACTGGGTGGGGAGGGGGTCTGTGACACCCCCAAACCCCTTCCCAGATCCTCCCTATCTTCGGCTGCCTCTACAGGGCAGCCTTATCCTCCAAATCCATCTGGATCGGAGGCACCAAGACAGCGAGCACAGCAGGGATCGCGAAGAAACGCAAATCCCTGCTGTCACCAAAGCCTGGCAACCCGGAAGCCCCCTTTCCACCTGTTGTCTATTCCATTTGCACAACAGCATGTGAAATTGATTGTCAATCAGTGTTGCTACCTAAGTGGACAGTTTGATTTCACAGAAGTGTGATTGACTTGGAGTTACATTGTGTTGTTTAAGTGTTCCCTTTATTTTTCTGAGCAGTGTACATCAAGTAACTGAAGGTTTGACCAAAAAAGCTGGTTTAAAAAGGCACATTTACAAAAGTCAAAAAGCTTCAGGAAACACTAAAGATTGTATTGTTCACTGACCTTGTATTTGTAATAAACACCTAACTTTAAAAAAAAAACATGGCCTTTTCCCAGCTTGGTAGCAGCAGTGGCCATAAGAGGAATTCCTATTTTCTTCTGTTTAATCAAGTAATGTGTTCCATGTGCACACACATATTTTCTCACCAGGGACTAATCAGGATATGTACATCTGCTCTGCCCATCTCTGTGTCAGATGTCTAATTAGGTTAGACACATGAGAGCTGCCTCTGTATACAAATTTCTGTTCTTCCTTCATAGTGTATCTGTTTGGCTTTCAATAAGTGTGTGCATCAAAAAGCATAGGCCAAGTGGCAAACATGCTGCCCTGGGTAATGTGATGAAGAGAGAAGGGAGGGGTTTAGAATAGAGGAGTGGTGGCATGCAGAACCATTGCTCATCCGCCCCTCCCAAATTCTTTGCAGCCCATGGGCATTTTCTAAATCAATATTTTTTATTTCTTTTTTTTTCAGTTTCTCCTACCTCCTACATCAAATATGGTTGTATTATGTTCTGTTTGAGAGAATTATTTTGCTGACAGACGGATAGCCATCATTTTGAGCCCTTTTAGGAAAGGACTTTCTAATATGCCATTGGGTTGGAACGAACAAAAGGAAAGCATTTGACGTACATTTTACTCTTGGGCATTCCACTTTTGTTTTCCTTTCCTTAAGAAAAATTACAAATAATCTTAAGCAAAAGGTATCCTGTGAAATTCCAGTGTATTTTCTCACAAAGGAAACACTGAATATGCCAGGGGAAAAACAAGCAACTGATTAAGTCAGATCAATTTCTCTTCAAAATCAGTGCAATGCAATGCAATGCCTAGTTGAAAAGATTTTCTACGCCTGCAGCATAGTAATCAAATGCCAAACAATTCCCCTCTCTGCCAATTTTGAAACAGCAAATGAAGTCTCTCCCCTGTCCTTGATTCCCTTTCTATCTCACTTACTTTGTCCTTGTTGAGGGCAGTGATGCTGTACCCTTGTCTCCAGAGTACAAGTTTCTGGAGGCCTGAAGACTGGTTTGATCACAGCCCCTGAGTTTTACTGCTGTCCACCATTTAATGGACAAACTGTTCTAACATCAGAGGTATACCGGAGAACAAAATGCAAGTTACTGTAACATTAATCAATGAGGCAGACTATAATTCTGCATTCTGCATTATATGCCCAAAATTAAAATTCAAGGCAGTAATAACATTTAAGACAATATACACACACACATATATGTATGTATGTATGTATGCATGTATGTATGTATGTATGTATATGTGTATGTGTATGTGTATGTGTATGTATAAGTATATATAAAAATAGGCAGCCAATGATTCTGTGACTTGAGATTTATTATTGATGGATTAAAATCTGCTTTTATTCAAACTGATTCTTTTAGTCTTCTCTTGATAGCAAGATATACAAGATGCGTTGTGCAGGAAACCTGAAACAAAGTTCTTTTAAAATGTTTATAATTCAGATGACTTAGTGCCAAAAAAGTAGGCATATAACAGCACTGCTCTAGCTTCTGAGAGTCTTTCAACTTTGCATAGTTTCATAGCTCTGAGAACAAAAAGCGTACCTTTTTATTATAAAATAGAAGAAAAATGAACATTCTTTTCAGAAGTTCTGTACGTTTTTTTGCAGTACTGAAGTTCAAACGTGACTTGATGAATGTGTTCTCTAAGTTAAGGTCTTTTTAATGATACCATTTTTAATGTTTTGCATAGTTTAACTAATGGATGTTCTATATGCATTATTTGTAGTCTTATAGCTTCATATTGAGAAAATGGGGGGGAGGGAAGGCTAACTGTATATATTTTGTAAAAACCAACCAACCTTTTTTTCTGTAGAGATTTGCTGAGAAATGGCATTTATGGAAACGGTACTATAAAATTGATGTTAAGTGTGAGTAATTGTTATTTTGATTTACAAAATGCATATTCTACATTGGAATGTAGCATCACAGCTCTTTTTCAGCTGCATAGATTGAATCTAACCTTTTGAAGCACTGACAGACAGATAATATACTCACCAGGTCTGCCGCATGTTCAACAAATATTCTGTTTCCAAATTTTATCTTCTGCATCACCTCAGATGGAACATCACTCCTCAATTTTGGCAGCTGCTCAATCAGTTGCTGCAGACGTTTATTAGGAAAAACATCTTCTGTGCAAATGTAAACTGCACCTGTAACAAAGGCCAAGCCATCTGAAATTACTGGCTTCTCTCTGTGGCAATCAGCTGGAAAACACACACACACACACACACACACACACACACAGGGTCCACCCCTACAGGCCTAAAATGCAAGCTACTTAATGCAAAAAGCCTTGCAAACAAAATGCCTGAATTCCTCCTGCTTCTAAATGCAGCCCTATTCGACCTTGTTTTTGTCTGCGAGACGTAGTTGAATGCATCCTTTCCAGACTCCTTATTACAGTAATAACCCCAATTTGCCTCTTATTAATTGGCCCCTAAACAAATGTACAACTGAACCTATGCATGCAAACCTGTACAATGCTGCTATGACTGGAGCTGGAGCATTTGATAACGAACAACACTAGGCTCAACAATTGCTTAGATCTCATTTTCTGCAATAGCTTAAACTCAATTTATGGCCTATAAGTTAAAGAACCTTTTTCCAACAGTGATCACAGTATGATTGATTTTTGTCTCAACTTGTGTCCTTGCAAAGAGGGTCATAATGATGTGACTCCAAATTATAATTTTAAAAAAGCCAATTATGATCTCATAGCTGCCAACCTCACATCTCTTGATTGGCACCTTTTGTTCACAGGTGCAGAAGACCATTATAAACTCTTTTGCTCTAAGTTAATAGAGTCATTAATCTATACGTACCAAAAATAACCCCTAAAGAAAAAACAACAAATTACCCATAACAATAAGAAAGTTACAATCCCCCGAAAAAATCTGTTTGGCGAGAAAACAAAACTGTCTATGTTAGCTAATGTTAAAAACCGCTACAAAGCCTTATGCTGCCAGATAAAGGAAGAATGTACCAATGACCATTGCAAACTGGAGGAAGAGTTATTAAACTCGAAATCCACCCGAGCTTCTATAATTTTGTAAACACCAAATTTAAAGACTCGAAAACTATCCCACCCCTAAAAGGGCCTAATGGGGAAGACTGTAACAATGAAGCTGTTAAGGCCAACTTCTTCAATATGTTCTTCAGCTCAGTCTTTGTTGATAGCAATGACTGCTATCCCCCCCATTTCCTAGTTGTACCATAACAAATTGTAACAATTTACTACATATTGATTTTACAGTAGGTAACATTGAAATGGCACTACGTAACCTAAAGCCATCTTTATCTATTGGCCCTGATGGATTATGTGCCTATTTCTTGAAAAAGCTTGCCACTGCCTTAGCCGAGCCTCTATGCACAATCTATGAGGTATCTTTCAGAACCAGCTCCTTGCCCGACTTATGGTCATTAGCCATGGTCATACCTATTTTTAAAAAGGGAGACCCTAGTCTAATAGAAAATTACAGACCAATCTCACTGTGTTGTGTCACCTGTAAAGTCATGGAATCAATTATAAACTAATCCATCATCCTCCACTTAGAAACAAACAAGCAGTTTGGTTTCAGGAAACAAACAGTTTGGTTTCAGGAAAAATTTGTCCTGTAATCTGCAACTCCCACACTGCAGAAATATTTGGATCACACATCTTGACCAGGGTAAAACAATAGTCGCAATTTACATAGACTTCTGCAAAGCTTCTGATGCAGTGGTGTACGACAAACTACTGTTGAAACTAAGTTCTTACAGCATCTACGAATCCCTGCACAATGGATAGCTGTGTTCCTGTCAAACAGGCAACAAATAGTCAAAATAGGAAGGGTCCTATCAAATCTGGCACCAGTTAACAGTTGTGCCTCCCCAAGGCAGTGTTTTAGGACCCACACACTTTCTGCTTTATATCAATGACCTATGCAACCATATCAAAGCAGCTGTGTCCTCTTCGCTGATGACATAAAATTATTTAACACCACCGACAATGCTACTGCCCTGTAAAGCGACCTTGACTATGTGCCAGAATGGTCACATAATTGGAAACTTCAAATTTTAACTAATAAATGCTCTGTCCTACATTGGCAATAAAAATCAGAACACCAAATACAAATTGGGCGGAAATGATCTCGTAGATGACCCTCACCCTATCAAGCACCTAGGAGTACTCATCTCAAACCTAATTTTGCTAAGCTTATTCTTCAGTAACATTGAATTGCTAACTAGGGCATGAAAAACCTTTGCCAGACCAATTCTTGAATACAGCTCTTTCACCTGGAACCCACACTGTATATCGGACATTAATATAATTGAGCGAGTTCAGAGATATTTCTTGAGAAGAGTACTCCACTCTTCTACTCACAATAAATTTCCCTGTGTCTCCAGACTTGAAATTTTGGGCTTGGACAATCTGGAACTGCACCACCTGCGGTCCGATCTAAGCATCGCACACAAAATTGTCTGCTAGTCTTGCCTGTCAATGACTTCTTCAGCTTCAACCACAATAATACACAGGTACAGAATTGATACAAACTCAAGGTAAACCGCTTCAAAATCGATTGCAGAAAACACGACTTCACCAACAGAGTGGTCAACACCTGGAATGCTCTACCCAACTCTGTTGTTACAACCTCAAACCCTCACAGCTTCAATCTCAAAACTGTCTACCGTGGACCTCACCCCATTCTTAAGAACTCCTTAAAGGAGCTCCTTAAAGGTGCATAAGCGCATCAGGATGCCTACCGTCCCTGTCTTACTGTCTCCATTTATATGCTGGGAAGGGATAATAATTTCCTTTTTTTAAAAAAATTATTTGATATGTCAACCCATTTTATAACTGCACCTGTGGGTGGCTAACGAAATAAAAACAATAAAAGCAGAGTAATACTAATAGAAAAAACCCTGCTCAAAAACACTAGAAACATTAAAAGAAAATATTCCTTACCAGATTCTAGTCCACCATATCTGTATGGATACTGCACAGAAAGACACAGCTGCAAAGCAATCTGAGTCTTCCCAGCAGAGCTTTCACCAGCAATTTCAGTAATTCCTGTGTTGGGAATTCCACCTCGGAGTAAGCCATCTAGAACTGCGCAGCCCAGACTCAGCTTCTGGCCTTGGGAAGTGCTGGGGGCTTGGTTTTGAAATAGTTGGAGTGCTAAAACAATTTGACAGTAGATTTACTTAATACACTTGTATGTCATTTTCAATGTAATTATCTTAAAATGGCTCAAAAAATAAATGCATGGAGGCTCTTAATCGGCTGATTCAGAAATCCTCAGCAAGCATTCAGTAAGACATCCAGCAAAAGCACAATGTTCCATTTCGGCAGCAGGAAAAGAATATAAGATGGAAAGGAAAGGGAATAAAAGAGATTCTCAAAATTAGAGAAGAAAAAAGGTACCTTGTTACCATTTTATGACATACACATCAAATTTTACAGCAAGTTAAAGGATTCAATTAGATTTTATAAAAAATCTGGAAGATCAAATCCCACTACACCTTCAATTTATAGGTTTATAGTAGTTTAATATTTCTTTAAATTGATTGTTTAGAAAAAAGCTAGTTGAAGACTTACCCGTAAAAACAGTGTTTTTTCTCAAAGTACTAGAAATTGTTCTTAGTAGATATTGTACATCTGTCTTGGATAGCTTTGTTAACCTTTGCAAATCTGATCCCGAAAGATGGAAAATGTCTTTAATTGATGTTATATTTGCTGAAATAAGAAAATTGATTCTATAACCAACATAGATTTATTTATTTGAAAAGTGGTAATATTACAGGGCATAGACATGTTATTACTTTATTCTCTTGTTCTGGAATCCTGTATCATATACCTTAAAATGGCCTATTCAACTCAATGCAACTTACTTTTAAGTAGACATGAATAGCATAGCACCATTAATATAGAGATTTGTTTTTATGCAAGTACTTTTTTCTAAAGCAAAACTGTGAAACTATAATTGTTCACTGTTGCTCAACTATTCAGAACATCCCTTATCACTGGCATTCATTCATTCATTCATTCATTCATTCTTCATACTTCTAAACATTAAGTGGGGTTCCTAGTACCTGTAGTTCAGCAATGAGAACAAGGCTAAAAAAATCCAATCAATGGTCAGCTATAGACACACTCACAGATGTTTATTCAGAAGTGAGTCCAACATGGAAAAATTTCAAATTGTGACCTTAGTTTCTTTTCAGATCTGGATATACCCAATCTCATCACAATCAGCATTTACCCACTTGCAACTGTAGTCTATACAATCCCTTAATCAAATGCAGCAAGACAGTTTTCTTACACAATCAATATATAAAAATGGTAGATGGGTGGCATATAATAAGAAAACAAGGATTTGTAGAGTTAATGTACCTTTTTTAATAGCTGCAATCACTCTAGGGTTCATGTCAAACTTATCCCAGTCCATTTCTTCACAAATGCAGAGCCACACAATATTAAGTAACAAAGAGGAAGAAAACTGAGTAAGACATAGCTTTAAAAAGATGCTAACAGAAAGATTTGAAATAGTTTTTTACATCAGCCTTGCTCCTTTATTTCAGTATTATTTTTCCAAGTTTTCTTTAATGCTTTTATGTTACTAGTGCTATATACTGACTTGCAATTCCTAGGCTCCTTGGCTTGTTTTAGTTATTTTCGGGTTATGTGAAAAAATATCAGGGGTGAAGAATAGTTCAAACATAAACTGCGTAAGACAATGATACTTAGGTGGAAAAATAAAAGGACATATGAGATTGGCCAAGACATATTGAATGTTGTGAAAGTGGATGCAGCTGCTATTTTACAATCATCCCACGAATAAGGGGCTTCCCTCCTCTATTCTTCTGGAACTCAAACAGTTAGACGTCGAGTAGGACATCCATGGGAAGAAAACGAATGAAGCTTTTATCATGAAAGTGAACCAAAAAATGATGACAGTTGAATGAAAAAAAGCTTCCACCCCTACACGTAAAAGTAAAGAAATTTTAATAAATGAAAAAAAAATAATTACTGAACTTAACTCTTTTACTTCTTCATAGAATCTTTATTTGCCTTATAGTTCCAAGTCAAGCACATATGTGATTATAGACTCAAAACTGCAAACCAACTTGAAAAAAAATGCCAATTTTGAAAGCTAAACAGAGTTCTCAAAAACGGACAGTCGGACAAAAGTCCCCCCCAACTCAAACTCCACCGAGAAAAGCCTATGAAGGCAGAGTCGCTTTTAAATTATTTCCTACCTTCAATGAACGACCCTAAACCTTAGAGAAGAGAAAGGCGCTAACATGAACTAGCCTAAACCGCGGAAAGCATGGGCCAATCACAGAATGATGGAAAGAGTTAATAACCAATCAGAAAGCTTCGCTCGTCATCAAGATCTTAAACTTCGCTGTACATCTTTTACTTCGCTGTAAAAGGCGCATGCGGCGTTATTGTCTAGTCTGCGCGCACGCGTGCGAGACTCCTCTCTCTTTCTCCCTTTTTCACTTTCCTATTTGGCCTGACATGCCTTGAAGGGGATTGGCTGAGAAGTATATATCAATGGGGGAGAGGAGGAGTCGGCCCACCATTGTAATGTTGAAAACAACAGCTCTGTCCCCCACCCCGAAGAGAGAAACGTTTCTCAACGTTTCATTGGCCCGGAGAGACGTCTACCTTTAGTGAATCCGTTGGTGATTGGATAGCTGTGGCGGGACGGTGGCTTCGGATTGGGTGGCTGGGGTGGATCGATGGTTTGGGCGCGTCGCCGTGTGGCGGCGGCTGTGGTAGGAGGTCTGAGGTGAAAATGTCGGGGCGCCAGGCCCCTGAAGGCAAAAAGTTGATTCGCTCCGCTAGTGGGCTTCGAATGGTCCCCGAAAGCCGGGCTGCGCAGAGCCCTTTCGGATTGGAAGAGCCGCCGTGGGTGCCGGATAAGGAGGTAACGGTGGTAGGGCGGCTCAAATCTGGACCCTTATTCAGTGTTATCTCCTTCCTCCCTCTAGTCTCTGCCGCCCTCCGCCAAAGCCTGTCCTTTCGGTCCCTAGTCGTGTGGAGACTGTTGGACCGTGGAACAGCAGGCCTTCGCGGAACTTCAGTGGTGCTCTCCGCCTCATCTTCCCCACCCTTTTTTTTTTTTTTTACCTTCAGGTTTATTCCTCTCGCGGGAGCCCCCCCCCCCCCGCCCCCGCCCCCCCCCCCCGTGCTGGAATGAAAGTCCCGCTGCGACGCTTAGAGCTCGCCCTGAATTCAGGCGTTGGATCGATTCTTTGAACGTACTTGCCTTAAAATCACCCTCCAAAGTAGGACATCAGAACAGCTTGCTTAAGAACGGGGCTAGCACTGGATGTGCTGTTCTTCGGTCCGCCAGCAGGGGGTGTCTTGAGTAGAAAACAATGGTGGCTTAATTAGAGGGGTCCTAATGTATTATCAGTGCTTTGATTGGAAGCGACCCGAAATTGGTTGTAACATGGCTATATAAAAGCTTTAAAGAAATAAAATAGTGAAGGTCTGTTGAAAATATTGGAGATAATGGAAAGAATAGTCTTAGAAAAATAAGGTTTACTTTCAATAATGGCTGATTTAAGTATATGTTTTGTGAAAGAAACTAGATTGGGCGAGGGATTTGAAGGGAGAAGTAGTCTGCTCATTTATGGATTTCACATTCATGGAAACATTAAGAAAACTGATCACATAGCTAAAGAGACCTGGGAAACAAATAATGGCTTGGGAAGAAAAACCCGGAGGTGATGGTAGCAGCTGCAGGATCTTAAGAGGCAGAAATGGCAGTCACTGTTTCAGACTTACTACTACTGAAACAAAAAAGAAAGATGTAAATGTGCTCAGTAGAGCAGTGGTTCTACCAGACACCAGAATTGACAACAGACACATACATCATTATATGTCAAAATCATTCTTTGCAAATGCTAGGTAACACAACAATAAAAAACAAGTCCTTAACTAAATGTGTTCTACTTATTTTATCAAATACTGGAAAATCATGAATTATCAAAAAGTTTCAACAACATTGCAAACAATACCAGTTCTAGAATATTTGTTAAATGATGTCAGAAATAGATATTTGTCTAGAAAGTAGGTTGAAGCCTGTTGGAGCTTAGCATGTTGTCCAAGAACAATAGTATAAAGTACGTTTCACAGCAGCCCAACATATTTTATGTTCCATGAATCATGAAAAATATTGGCAGTATATACTGTCCTTATGTGCATGAAGAAAACTTTGTGATTGAAACTCTTGCAAAATACAAGTCTTCAGAACAACATATGTGAAGGATAAGGTTTCTGTTTCTTCAGAGCTACCTCCCCTTTCCCCATATAACATATTTTTATGTTATTTTTAGGCCCAATATAAATTGGTGTTTTTTATCCTTTTAAGTAAAATGATATTTCAAGCACTGTCTGGAAAATATGTAGTATAAAGATGAAGAAAATCAAGTGGACAGGAATCGGTTGTTAAAAGTTCATTAGAAGAAATGGTAACATTGGAGATTGATTTCAAGCAGTTTTAAATCTGGGGTTTAGATGTGATTTCAAAAAGTAGCCCTTAACTCGGTCATGCTAATTGGGCTTGAATGTGAACTACAGATGATCTTGTAGTTTTATTTGTATTTTAGAAAAATATGGTACAAAAAGAGGCTTACACACGTAAACCAATGAGGCTCTTTAGAATTGTGTCACATAATATGCCATGTATTTTTTTAGTCTTTGACTGAAGCAAACTTTAATATCTTTGTATTATTATTTTATAGTGTCCTAGATGTATGCAGTGCAATACAAAGTTTGACTTCATAACCAGAAAGGTAAAGAGTTTGGATGCAAGTTTATTATAGAACCGTGATGGTGCATGCATAGAACCTATGGCATGCATGCCAGAAATGCCAGAGCCATTTCTGCTGGCACGTGAGCCGTTGCCCAGAACAGATCCACTGCACATGCATGTATGTCTCCTGCCAGCCAGCTGATTGTTGAATATCTGCTGCATATGCGCAGGGGCAGGGCACATGAGGGGGTGTCATGCGCATATGTGCAGAGGCACACAGTGTGCACAGGGTTGTTGCGCGTGCATTGCATTATGGGTGCAGGCATTCCTCTGAAAGCAATAAAATGTCCTTGCCGTAGTCAGTCACTATTGAGTAGAATGTTCTGCATACCACCAAATGTGTTATAACTATAACATTTAGGATAGGGGTCGTTTATGCTGAAAAAAATTAGTGTAGTTTGTACTGAACATACTTAATAATGAAACCAAATTTTCTTTGTTTTTTTCAATCTTTTTGGAATTGCATTGTGAACACATTAAAAATTTTCGGTAGATGCATTTATTTATTTTTCTTCTATAGCTGCATATCTCAAACAGCAACTTTGGGCAGCGTAATGATTCTAAAAATATAAAAACAATAAAAACATTTAAACATATTTAAAACAATAGAAACATCCAAAATAAATATATACAGCACCCAAGATAATTAGACAATTCACAGGAAATCAAAAAAATGGGGCCCTTAACATATTCAGAGTTTCAGGCTGAGGTTCAGCTGGATGGCATCTTCAAAATGTGTAACATTTGTTTTTAAGTATAACCAAAGCCAGAATTACAAATCTCGTTATACATGATTATTGTACGCTACATATGCAATAATAAGTACTTCCACAAATCTGTCTCTCTCTTTTTTACATTGCTATCCTTGAGGCAATTACGGCTCCTTCTCTAATTAATTTTTTTTAGTCAGGCCATGCAGGCAGTACTCATTACAGTTGAAAACTACATATTGTGCACATGCTTTTTGATGCTACAGATTTGCTGTGTTTACATTAATTCATGTTGTATTTAATTTTGATTTCTTGAATAAACCAGCTGACTAGGTTATACTTATGTTTAACATACTGTATATATAATACATATATGATTATATAAATTATGTATTTAATTATATGCTTCACAATTTCTCAAATAATGTATTGATTTCTTGTGTAGTAACTTCATTGAGTTTTTGATAGGCAATTAGGGTAGCATTTTTTTTTTCAGAACTGTAGATATAAGGATGCAGTACTGCATAGGGCTGCCAGAATAAAAATCTGGATGACCATTAGATGGCACAATAGCTCTACTACTATCTAGCATTCATTCAGATTATTGCAATCCTGATCTGGTGGCCCAAATATTTCTCATTACAAAAGATGTTTGTTTAACAAACATAATTTGGATATATTTCAGATAGTGAAGGAAATATTTGGCTTGATCAAATGTCATTTTCACATGGTATGTGAAGCTGTGGATAGCTTAACCATGGACTATTGAAAAAATCCACAGTTGTCTAATTCATAGGATATATTAAACCTTATATTAGTAGAATTTTTACAATTCTTTAAGGATAATACATAATTTGTTTGCAGATTTGTATGTTATATGAATACTTCCTGAATTTATTTGTTTTCCTTCCTTCCCCTCCCCCTCCCCCTCCCCCTCTCCCTCAGTTTTGTGATATGGAGATTACAAAATGTATTAAGCGCTGTTTGTATTCTCTAAATATGTAACTCAGGTACTTAAGCATTAATTCTGGTTTGCTGATAGTTATTTATACTTATTATAATTCTACAGCACCAATGTCACCTAAATTACTCTGGACATTTGGTACTTGAAGCTTGCTGAATGTGCTTGATTTTTTAGAACATGGAAATGAAAACTCTGCACTTTGTACTCTGCACTTTCATGGACCGATTGCTAGACTTCTATGGAAACTAAAGTAGTACAATGTGATCTGCAAAGACAGCTTTCTCTAGGACATGGGAGTTCAGACTTAATTCAGACATTTTTCTCAATTTGTTTTTGTTTTTGCAAATATTTTGGTTTTTTTTTTAATCTGGCATATCAGAATTTTATCCTCTTTATATTCCTTGTATTTCTGCTGCAATATTTATTTCTCTTCTACCTGATAGAATTTGCCATAGAGCAGAATCAAATATTTTAAACATAATGATCCAATTTTGGTTAATCTCTCTCTCTTTCTCCTCTATTCCAGCATCACTGCAGGAGATGTGGAAAGTGCTTTTGTGATAAATGCTGCAGCAAGAAAGTGCCTCTGCCTCGTATGTACTTTGTTGATCCTGTACGCCAGTGTGCTGAATGTGCTCTCATTTCTCAAAAAGAAATGGAGTTCTATGACAGGCAACTCAAAGTGCTTATGAATGGTGAGTATTGAATATAGATTCTTATTTGACTAGCTAAGAGACAGTAAGGATTTGTTTGGGGTGATACACTTAATAATAGTAATAAATACACAACATAAAACAGGATTGTGAAATTTAATCAAAAAATTACACTTGGCCATTAGGTGGTATATCGAGGGCAGTAATGGATAGTAGAAGGCAGAAACTGTATCTGATTTTGTTAATTTTGGGTAAAATCTGTACAAGTTTAGTCATTATATATTAATTATTACACTTCAAGTAACAATATTTGGAGGTCTTAGGGGAATGTACTGAATGTTTTGGGTCTGCAAAAGTGCTTCAGCTTGGGTTTTTCTGGTATAAGTACATCTTTGGATTCCAGAATAAAAAATGGTAAACCTCTGTCTCATTGTAATAGGAATAATCTGGATATGCCCAATTTTTCTTTTTCCAGTTAATAACAAAAATTCTGGAAAAGGTTAATAAACCTTAACTCTTTATAGTAAGATTGAGAATTGCACTTTTAAATTTGTTTTAATTATATTGTATTTTAAAAAATGTATCTTTAATTCTTTTTCTTCCCTTCTTTTTCTTTTTCTTCCTGGAATTTTGAGGTGCTACATTCTTTGTAACTCCAGGGACATCAGAAAAAACAGAAATGATGGTTTGTCGACTTTCCAACAACCAGAGGTAAGAAATGTGTTTTGTTTGCTAGTAGGAATTGAATCAGTTGAAATCTTTTTCTGAAAAATATTATATTTGCTACATATTTTGTTTCAACATTTTGAAGAATTACCTATCCAGCATCCTAGCTGTTATTTCCAAAGTGTTATCCGAACAATATTGCTACGACTTGCTCTTAACAGAAAATTGATACTTTTTCAATTTCCCTTTTTGAAGGTTTTGGCTATGGTTGTATGTATTATTTTTTGTTTTTCTTATAATTAATAAGTAGTCTAGTGTACCTTATTAATGTTTTGGTATTGATGATTGTATAAGTATGATCTTATTGGAGGAATACATTTTAATATTTCAGAAAGATAGCTAATGACCAATATTTTTCAACTCATATCAGCAAGAGATTAATCTTCTTTAGTGAGTTAGGAAAATTGCTACCTTTCGTTCATTATTTTATAAAGGTTTAAGGAGGTAATCGTTTTGACACCTGGTAATTTGTTTATATTGTAAGTATAGAAGTGTTGACAGAATCTAGGAGGAAGTTTCCTTGGGAAGGCTTTTCCCATATTAGAAACATTTTCAAACATTTCATTTGAGAGCGAATAGTCTTTGGAAACTGTTTTAGTACATTACTGGTTTTTTTTTAAACAATAAAAACACTTTAAACTATTGTGAAGTGATACAACAAAGCATAGGTACTACGAATAATGAGTAAATAAACTTTGAACAAATGTAATGTCTTGTAATTATACAGTATCAATGATTGTTTTATTTTCTAGTACGGGACTTAGTGATGTAATTGTAAGAATTGTAAGAATCACTAATATACATGAAATGAACACCTTTCTTTGTAGGTATCTATTTTTGGATGGAGAAAGCCATTATGAAATAGAAATTTCACATATCTCCACGGTCCAAATTCTTACTGAAGGATTTACTCCTGGAGGTAATTTGTTATTAAGCATAAATAGTAACTAGAAACCTGTAGCTAAAATCACTGGATTTTACCCTTCATAGTTTAAGCCTTCCAGATAGTAGTGTTTCTGTGACTGAAACCATAATTTACAGAATTCCTCTATCTGTATTCCAGGCCAGACAACACAATACACTGCATATCTCTTCCCCGCCTGATTCCTTCTTATTAGCTGTACATATTTCCTTTTACTTCCTTATTGCTTCTCTTTAATTTCTTTGCCATTTTTAAATTTTGCCTTTCAAATGTCTACCTATTTTATCCAGCTTTCTTTATCTAGTGTATTTCTTGTCAAATCTTCCTAGAATTAATAATTAACTTCTTGGGATATTTTATTAGATTGCTTCTTAATGGCAAGCATATTTGTCTCTGAGTTTTCTCTCCTTTTCTTCTGGGATACATATCTTATCTGAAATACAGGGTAAAAATCAGGATGGTGTAGTAATTAAGCTGCTGCACCAGGCTTACACAGTACTTCTTCAAATATGTCTCAGCATCAGTGGTGGTATTCAAAAACTTTTACTACTGGTTCTGTGGGCGTGGCTTGGTGGGCATGGCCATGTGACTGGGTGGGCATGGCGCTTTTTTTTTTTTTGCAGTCCCCACCCATTTTTGGGAGCTTCTTAGCCACAGAGAAGCCTCGGGGGGGGGGTGTTTTTGCTCCTCTAAGGCTTCTCTGGGGCTTAGGAAGAAAAGGAACAGAGCATGGGAGGGGCACGCAGCACTCCTCCAAGCTCTATTTTGGGAGCTTCCTAGCCTCAGAGAAGCTCGGGGGGGGGGAATTTTTGCTCCCCCGAGGCTCCTCTGGGGCTCTGGAAGGCAAAAAATGGAGGGGGGGTGAGCTCCTCCCTCCATTTTTTGCCTTCCTGGGCCTCAGCAAGGGGAATCCCGGCACAGCTGATCTTATCTACAGCTGATTATTGGGAGGGGAAAAAAAAGAAATAAATACCTTAGGCGAATGTCAGGCAGGCGGGCGGGGTGAGCGAACATCGGCTGGGAGGATGACCGGGTGGGGGCGCGTGGCCAGCCAGAACTTAACTACCGGTTCGGCGACCCACGCCAAATTCTTACTACCGGTTTGCCCGATCTGTTGCGAACCAGCTGAATACCACCACTGCTCAGCATAAGTTATTTGGGTATCCTGGAGCCGGTCACTCTCTGTTAGCCCAGCCTGACACACCAGATGATTGTTGTGGAGGAAAAAATGGGAAAAAAAAGATTTGTGAACCTCTGTAGAAAATGTATGTACAAATCAAATAAATTAGTAAAAAATGGGAACTGACTGCCTTTTTTCAGGAAACATTTTAGTACTATGAAGGAGGGGTGGTGGTTATTTAGATGGCAATAGTTCAGAAACATCCAGTCTGAGAATTTTATGATATCATGAACTTACAATTGTTAACACAATAGTGACCAATTACAGGGCCACACAGTACACATATCTGTAGGACATTTTTTCTTAATGTGATTGCTTAGACATTCCTTTTAATTCAATTTAGAATGTTTGTAGCTTTTGCACTTTCAGATTAATATAATGCCTACATATGCTAATGAACAAGTTTTTCTGTGTAATTAAGTATTATATGCATAGATCACATTCGTGCACAATGAAAGTATTGGGAATAAATATATTACCTGTCAGATGCTTCTTGATTGCTATCATAGTGGAGCTTGCAAATATTTATTTCTTAACCACCCATCTCTGTCAGAGTGTGGCTCTGGGCGGCATACAATATAATGAATAAAATTTAAAAAATCAGAATTAAGATTAAAAACTTTTAAAATTATTTAAAAAATATAAAATTTCAGAAAAATTCCGAGATGGGGAGCAGTTGTTAATACAGGTGGGGGAAGTTCTCAAGGGGCCAGCCGTCTGCATAAATGTGTGGACCCCATGTAAGACTGGATAGCTAAATTTTGATCCCTTTCGGGAAGGCCAAGAGATAGGGGTTTTTACTCACCTCTGAAGGCAAGGTGTTCCACAGTATAGGGCAGCAATAGAGAAGGCTCTCCTACTATACCCTGCCAGTCAAAATTCTTTGACTGACAGATTCTACAGTATACTTTCCATGAATGAGTGCGATGGGCTGATACAATGGGATGTTGCAATGTAGAGTTTTATAGTTGATGATCAACACCAAGAATAACTTTTGTGGAGCAAAAGTGGTATATGTGCCCTTTTTTGGACACCCAGTATGGCTCGCTCAGCCGCATTCTGCACTGTTGAAGCTTCCAGATTCTTTTCAAAGGTAGCCCCAAGCAGAATGGGTTACAATAGTCCAGTTGGGAGATGACCAAAGCATGTGTGACTGAATGGAGGGCCTCCCTCCCCAGGAAGAGGTATAACTGGTGCACAATGCAGCAGGAGCGGTGAGTCCAGTAGGTCCCCTAAGTTACATACCTGGACTCTCTGAGATAGTGCAACCTCATGCAAGACCAAAGATGATAAACTCCTGGATACAGAGGGGCCCACATACAGCCATCCCTTCTTATCAGGGTTCAGTTGAAGTCTGTTGTTCCTCATCCAAACCCTCACAGTCTCAAGGCAACACAAAGGAACATCCACTAAGTCACTCACTTTACCTGAGCATCATCATCATATTGGTAATATCTGTCTAAAAGAACCTCAAGCCGAAAAACAAAATGAGTACCTTATCTTTATGAAGTATAGCTTTTCATAAAAGCATTTTAGAATTTTGTTATATTTCTTAGATTTTGTTTCTGATTCTACTTCAGAAATCTTTATTGTTTGAAACAAAATGCAATTTTTATTTACCTGAAGTGAGCTTGCTTATAATAGGTATGAGACTTTGAAGTTCCAATTTACTACTGTTTCTTTATACTTTTATGGAAATAAACATTTATTTTAGATAACAGCTTCTGCCACAGATGTAAGCATGTAATTAGGACTTGTTTCTCACTTCATTAAGCTAGCAAAAAAGGTTGATAGTGGCTGTATTTGCAATATGTCACAAACTTACAAGAATTCCATAAGAAACTCAGTCATTATTTCATTCCAAACCTTATTTTTAATGTCTAATTATATTTTTTCAAAAAAAAATTCAGGATATTTGCAATATAAAAGAGAAAAATACTGGCTTGATAATAGAAGTAAATATTAATTCAGAATAATCTCAAATAAAACAAGAAACATGAGTGTTGTGCAAATCAGATACTCTGAATTATTTTTGGAATGTCTAGAAATTATTTTTAGCTGGTATTAACAACAGGATAACTTCCTAAAGATGTGACTGGTAATTAAACAAATCAGTGTATAAAACCTGTTGTTTTCAACTACTTAGAATCCTTGAGAGTCTGGTAATATAATAATTGTTTGTAGAATATAATTTAACAATATTTCTATTTTGTACATTTTAAAGTAATATGGAACTGAATTATGAACAAATATTAAGCCAATCCTTTATTAAAGCACATTGTTTTAAGAAAATTTTGGATTGCTCATTTTTTTATTTTTCTTTAACATTGTGTTAGCTACAAAAGTAACTATTATATAAGAATTATTTCATTAATGCCAGTTCTGAAAAATACAAGATTTTGCTGACTTTTTAAACCATTAAAGCTAGATCACATTAATAAAAATGTGATTGTGAGAATTCAGGAAAAAAAGAATAAAATTTGAGACCAATGTTTCAAGTATTCTGTCACTGGATTAGATTGCATTCATATCCATTTCTTGTCTGTAGCTTTCTGTATATTTTCCCAAATGATTGGTCCTGTTGTTCAATTTTTATGGCTATAAATTGAATCTTCATTTTAAACTTCTGTATTTCTTTTTATTAACATTTCTCTTCATTGCTTGCCTGCTTCCTTGATGTAGAAAACGACATTCATACTTATACCTGCCTCTTGGAAAGTGAACACATTATGGAAGGTCAGCACTGGAACTCATTACTCTTAAGCATGCTTTTTGTATTATTTCTTCAGTATGTGAGGTGTAGCGCAGATACAGTTTTTTTGTGGGAATGTTTTCTTAATGGCTGAACTTCAGATCCATTCACGACAAACCATCTCAACGGCCAACTAGCATTCCCCAGGCTACATGTAGCCACTGTTCCTTTTTTTCCTCTTTGTCTGACAGCTAGGCTTGGACTACAAAACATTAAACATTTAAACATTAAAAAGTTGTGTTAGACTGAAATATTAACAGTAAAATATAATATCTTGGTATGTTTTTATTGGAATAGGTCAGAGGTGCTTTGCTTTTCTCCAAAATTATGTGTGTATTTACTTATCTGGATCCAGTTTCATGAATGAAACTGCCAGAGGTTTTTTGTAAGTAGGGGTTGAGTGGTTTGTGTTTAAGTGAGAAAAAGATATGTGATCATTTCATAATTCCAGATGAGATGGGGAAGGGCTTATAAAAAGGAAAAGTCTTTCACTGGATAAATACTATAAATCCAACAGGAGATGGTTTCAACTTTGCCCCCTCCCCTAGCAGAGATGTGAAATTACTTTGGCCAAGGACCTGACTTGATGTTGGAAGTTATATTTGATATACGTTTAAAGTAAGTTTAAAATGATACAATGTGGGAAAGATGTAAGTAATACATTGCTTAGCACCCCCGCAAACAGCTGTAAACCCTATCTTTCTATAGAATTGCACATGACAAATCTGAGGAAATACTTTAGGTTATGACCTAACTCTGGAAGTGGCAGAACTCACTATTGTTTCTGGTTGCTTCATTATCTTTCCTGATTCATATGTCACATTGAGAAACATTTAATACTACTCTGTTTGCAACTCTATAGTCATCTATGGTCACTTCCTTTGCATGCATCACTCCGAGAATGGAGTTGGGTAGGTGATAGCTTTGAACAGATGAATTAAAAAGACAGTTTTTAGGCAGTGGCCACAATTAATTACCCAAGACAAAGGATTTGTTCTGCCTTACCAAAAGACTAGTCTGATTACATCAGTTTGAACACTGTTTATAAAGTGGTGTAGGAGTTGATTTGTATATTTAGCCTTTTTAGTATCTACATTAAATTTAAAATGTAACATAGCTTCATACTGTTTGAATAACTGGAGTGTGCTGCAACTATTCAGATTCTGTTTCAAAGGATGATTCATATTTCTTGAGGGAAAAAATATAGTTATCTGTAATTTTTAAAACAGCCATGCCTTTCCCATGACTGCTTTCTGCAGTTTCCAAGTGATCTTGGGAAAATATGCATCTGCTTTGAAGAGCTTCAGAAAAAATACTCTGTTTATGTCTTGCACATGCTGAAATACTATTTTGGAATGAAATCCAAAATATTGAACATACTTCTAGCCTTGTTGCTAGATCAGTGTTCAGAGATAGCCATTTAAATTTTTTTTTTTGTCTACTTAGGATTATTTTAACATGTTGACTTTTTTTAATCAAACAAAAGTGAAAAGAATTCTGTATTAGTTTTACCTATTGTTGAATCTCTCTATGCCATTTAAACTATTAAATCACAGCTTAGGTATCCCAGAAAGCTAACTTAACTATGGCTCACATTCAAAATTTAATTATATTACTGTTCAGTCAAATGCACTTATCGTTGTTTATAAAAGAATAAATTGAATAGATTTACTTTAATATTCTCACATTAACACAAATTAAGAGCTATGCATGTTATGTATTTCTCAAATATATTCTGAGACATTATAACCCCAAAATTATTTTTAATACTGTTTCCATTAGTTAAGTCAGCTTCATAAAATGCTAATCTAGAAATGATAAATGTGTCTACAGAAAAATAAGGCAGAAAAAAATTCCAGTCTTACATCTCATGAAAGAGTAACAACATCAGTTCTTTCACACTACCCTTTTATTTTCATGGGTAGTCTTTCATTTAACAACTGTAATGGAGCCTGCCCATTATGGTCCAAAGTTGTGACAGTTGTAAAACAGGTTAAGCAAATCAGTGGTTCCCTATGAGCTCTGTTTTGCTGAAAATTGAAGTAAATACTAATTTTTGGCAAAGCCATCATATAAGAGTGTTGCCTGATTGTGGGATGCTGCAAACAGCCATAAATGTGTCTCAGTTACCAAGCACCCGAAGTACCATCATATGACCACAGGGGAAGCGACCATCGTGACTTTGAATCTGGGTCATAAGTAGCTTCCCAGTAGGTCCATGTAGCTTCAAACAATTGCTAAGCGACCAGTTGTAAGTCAACTCGTATTCTTTCCAACACAATAGAATCTCGGGGATAAATTACATAGATAGACTTGAGAACAGGATAACAGAATGGAACTAAATTTGATATCTATAGGAAGAATTGCAAAAAGAAAGATTGAATTCAACAGTATCAGGCAGGGGTTTCAGAGAAAAAAAAATGCTTCCCTAAGAGAGGTAGTTGGGCAGATTGTTATGACATTTTCAATCATGTGATCTGAAATACAACTGTTTTAAAGTGTTGGAAAAAATTCAAGAAGCCATCCTCTGTGTGTGCTTTGTTATTCTCAAATCAGCAGTTTCTGCATTTGTACAGCAGTACAAATACAAGGATTTAGAACTGTGTATATTCAATTTTTTTTCTATTAAAAAGGAATAATTAGGGACTTTGCCTTTGACATAGGATTTCTTTGATACTTCTAATGTCATAAACATTGTAATTGTAGATTATAGTGGTTTTAGTTGGTGTTTTCAAGTCAACTCTTAACCATCAATCTCACAGGAAAAAAATTATTCAAAATACATGTCAACTTGTAATGAAGGAGATGGGTACAGGTATTTGTTGTTGCAGTATTGAATTTGGGATGTAATCATAAATCATTAATATTGTAAATAAATCTGTATTTCGCAGAATCCTCATACTGAAAGATGTTTAGAGTAACTTCTGTATTGTTTAATGGATTGAATTATTTTACGCTGCTCCATGTTTTTTCCATTGTTGCAAGCTATTTAAGGTTTGTCTATTTGAGCATATATCGTCCAAATAATGTCTTGTATAATGTACATTCTCCATATGTACTCTTGAATATGAGGCCTTATATTCATTATAACACTCGTTCTTGTAACCTCAAAGCTATCCAGTCTGAATACTTGCTCGGCCATAGTTGTTTTGCATGTGGCTTTCTCTATATCATTATTTCTTGGTGTGACTATATAACCGAGAGTTTAATACATTACTCAATATTCTTTTCAGGATTTATCAGTGATTGGGGTTAGAAAGAGATGATGGGTTAACCAGCCACCATTGTAAGGATAAAGCCGTATTTGCTTTGCAATGTAAATCTGTGGATTACATCTAATGCCACTGAATAAACTTCCACTTGCACAATGGGACTTCCTCTTGTTCTCCCTTTTCTAGGTCTGGTTCAGAAATTTACTCAAAGTTTGCATTGCATTTTGGGATGCGTAATTTTTCTGGTGATAGCAATAGCACTTATATACCACTTTACAGTGCTTTGCAGTCTCTCTAAGTGGTTTACAGAGTCAGCATATTGCCCCCAACAATCTGGGTCCTCATTTTACCCACCTCAAAAGGATGGAAGGCTGAGTCAACCTTGAGCCTCGTGAGATTTGAACTGCCAAATTGCAGGCAGCCAGCCAGCATGCAGAAGTAACCTGCAGTACTGCATTCTAACCACTGCAGCTCATATAATCCATTCTGTCAAGAAAAGCAGCCATAGTTTGGTACAGCCCTTTGTATTTATAATGAAGTATTTTTACCTTATTTTTTCCCCTTAGGAGGCAATACTCGTGCTACAGGTATGCTGCTTCAATACAAAGTACCAGGATCAGATGAATTCAAACAGATTAAATTTACTGCCGGTGAAGATTTCAGTTCCAATAAAAAGCTATCAGCTACCTGGCTGGCAGCAATGCATAAGGTAACTAAAGCAATTGTTAATTAAATTATGCCTTAAAGTCATATAGGAGTACTTTTAAACCTAAAGCTCTGTTCAGTTATCAACTTCCAAGATGCCAATAGGAAATTGGCAAGAAACACGGTGTTAGCAAGTCTCTTCTACCAGGAGAATCCACGGAAGTTCAGAGTCAAAATTGGCAAGATGGTAGGTATGCCATTGTAATCAAAACCACGTCTCTTTTAAAGAGAGTGGTGTTTAGCTACCACAGGCTATTAGTCATATACTAAGCTGAGGTAGTCTTTGATTTATGATGGCAACAGAAACCAGAATTTCCATTAAGTGATGCAGTCAAAACATAAGACTACATCATTTAGGAGGCAATGTTTGCTACCGTTGCCATTGTTAACCTAATCCCATAGTAATTAGGCATTTCTAGCTGCTGTAAAATGTTGCAATACCCCTCTCCCACAGTTAATGTGACCATATTTGGGGAATTTGGCACCTTTGTGGCTAGCTGCAGTGACTTGCGATCATCTGACCATGATTTGCAAACTTTTTTGCCCGTCAACCGCTGCTGTTTAGCTTAACGACTTGCAAAAAATGTAAAAAGATGGGTCTAGTCCCAACCTGCAATTGCTGTGACTAAGACTGAAATATATGGTTCCAATTATGTTAGCAAGTTGAGGACTACCAGCATAAGTGTTTGTGTACAGATTTTCATATAATCATACTTATCTTTTGAAATTCTAGAAAATTTTCCATGTACCATTCGATGAATCAGAATCCTAACATTTAGCACATCTTGCTTTGCGTTTTTCTTTTATAACAATTTGAATGCATTCAGAAATAATTCAGCCCCACTGCTGAATTGCATGTGCAATATAGCTTCTGACAATGACAGTTCACTTCTTCATTTTTTGTTCTTTTTTGTCATCTTACAGGCAGCAAAACTACTTTATGAATCTCGGGAACAATAGGTAGTTTTTTGGAATTGAGGGGAAAAGTTCAACTCTAAAAATAAGCTTCTTACTACTTGCTATTTACACATGGTATAGGGATTCTCCCTTCCTCCTTTCCTACGTTAAATGTGGTTCATCATGTGAGCACTGGCCAATTATAATGTGAGTATTTGGACCTATAAGTATTCACTTATTTCGTGTGCAATATGTATACAGTTTATTAATGCTTTAAATAGAGCTCTGCATCTATGACTTTATTTTGTTAAATCTTATCTGCACTTAATATGTAAAATGAAGTGTGACCTGCACTATTGCTAAATATATAGCACAACTTTTATAATACAAATTATGTAATTCATTTAAAACCAATCCTCATTGTTCCTGGAAAAAGTTCTTCAGAAATGTAGATCTCAGGTTTTCCCCCTATATATCCAAATGATCTATCAAATCCGTCTTAGGTATTATTTTATATAGAATCACCCTTTCTTCTGGTGAGGGGTTTGTATCATGAGATTAAAGCTTTTTTTGTTGTAAAATTAAGATTTACAAAATACTACAAATAGTGCTGTATAAATTGGCCTTTTTGAATGAAACTGTCAGCAAAATTGTTTTTGAGATTTTATAGACATTTTGTGATAATTTGGGATTTGGCTAATAAAATCTTATCAAATACTATGTAATCTTGTCTGAGGTAGCACTATTGGGAATTCATTTAACTAATACGTAGATCGGTGTTGTCAATTTGAACTTGGTATGAAATCAAGTACAAATTAAGCAGGAAAAAAGTAAAAAATAAATACAAATACAGAAAGTTTCTAAAGAATTCCGTCTGAAGACTTGATTTAACACATCACTCTTAAGGGCATGCAGAAAATATATAACAGTATAACGCATGTAAGGTGTGTATATGAAAACTTCATAAATGATTTTCAGAAAAAGCATACATGTTAAACAACCACCTGAAACGCCAACAATTCTTAGTAGTAGTTTATTGTGCACACTGGATTAGCAGTGTATTGCAGGCTTTTTAACTTTTAATTTCATTTAGCAAATATTCTTTTACAATACTCTTTCACTTCTCATCACACAATATATACAATTGATGCTAAACAATAATAAAAGCAAGTCACAGCACTGCATGAATGGTTGTAAATTATGCACAATGTGTAATGAATAAAGCCAATTGGTCTAGAGTTTACTGGCAAACAAATAAGCATGGTTACAACATAATGGGAAGTTCAAAATAGACTTCTGTATATAAAACCATGTACAATTAGTATTCCAGTGAAGTGCTTTTTTGCTTGAAAGTAGATACTGGGTTTATTGCATATCTCACCCTGGCAAGCAGGGTCACTAGAATCACAAATACTATTTCAGTCCAAAAAGTAAATTATCTCTCCTTTCTCAGCCCCAATCTATTGAACCAACTTTTATCTTTTTATCCAACCTTTTAATCACTTTCCTACTTTCACAAATAAAATTTAAAGTCCTTAAATTGAATCTTCTAGCTTTTATAGCCTACCTCTTACCATTTCCAACTATTGCACTTTTCTTTCATAAGACATACAAGTTCCTTAAGCCAGGATTGTCTAGGAAATAGAAATCAGGATGTGTTTGAGGAATGATAACAGAATATTGGGAAGATAAATTTGTATTGTAAGCAGAATATCAAGAAGAAACATCAAGTGAAGGAACAAGTGCAGTTTTTAGAAGTGTGCAAAATCCATTCAGCATAAATGCTTCTCTGTCCTGTTCAGAAACACCTTTTATATATCATATGATTATTCATTACTCCAGGCTGTCAACTCTTACAAGCTCTTTAAGGATTTACACATTAAACTTAACATTCAATTGAATATTTTAATTGTAAAGTTCTTGACATAACAGGGTAGCTACAGTGAACTATGACAGAGTAGACAGCGTATCTGCATTTTACAAAGGTTTTAACATCTAGCACTTTTAATTCAATTGGCAAAAAATACTGTAGACTGTTTGAGTACCTCTCAATGATTGGCAGATTAATACGGAGCAGACCTCACTTACAAACTGCAGATCGAAAATCTCAAATGCTGTCTATCATATTAAACAAGAGCACCATTTAAAACAAGAATAGCTTTAATTTGTGGTGAAATGTAATTGCAAATGTCTCCAGTGTATACTTTCCATCTTCCAATTCCCAGAAAAAAATATTGACAAATCAAGTGATTCAGGCAAGTGTTCGCTGTCTTGGTTTTATCCTTGGGTATAACTGCAATAACATGAAATTGGAAATAAATTTAAAGTGCAAAAGAATGAGGAACATGTAAGGACAAAGTTGCAACATTTCTAGAAATTTTGAAGCATTGTAAAAAAAAAAATGGATGTGAGGAGATGAAAAATACTTCTTGGCTTTTTCACAGAAATAAAGTAACTTGCTACTATATAAAGTGTATTATATACTGGTTTGCTTAAGGTAATGCAAAGAGTAATAGCTAGGACAATCGTAAATTTATCAATTGAAATTTTAATTTAGAATGTTTCCAATGCCACTATGTTACTAATATCTAAGGAATGCTGTTCTTGTCAGGTTTGCCTGATATCAAAACACCAATTTTCATAAAAGGTATAGAATACCTATTTTCCTATGTGAAACTTCTATTCATAGTCATTTTCTGAATTTAAAGTTCAATCAGTATTAGCAGTTTTTACTTCTAATCATTTTCCCAAATTCCTGAAAATAATCAGTCATCTACTTGCAACTTAGATATTCAAGTGATCATCAGTGAATTCACACAGACTCTATCCCTGTGCAGAGCTCTGATCAAAACCTTTGAGAGCTTTAATGAATTTTGGCATGAGTCTTGCTCCCATATACACCTGCAAATATATGCATAATTCTTGCTAACTGCTTTTTCTAGGATCACCACAGAAATTTCTGGAGCAAACCATGGACCTTATTTTTCTCTTCTTTTTGTCCTGCCATAGTATGACAGCTGACCTCTTTTTCAAAGCCTTTTGTCAGGGACAAAAAAATCCCTGCCTTTTGAGTGGCTTATAAACAAAAAAGCTATCTGCAGCTAAAACCTGCAAAGCAGCCTGCGAACCATCAATCACCAATTTTGATATAGTTTTGAGAAAAAATGGTTTAGTAGAATCTATGGTCTTCAACACATACTTCCAATGTGTTACTCTTGGATGAGAGACTTATTGTATCAGATGTGATAAAAAAAGATTGACAATGTTTACAGAAGTCTAGTACAGGCAGTTCTTCATTTGTAACAGGTTTCATAGTGACCTCTCCAGGATACTTATAATTTGAATCTGATGAATGGGGGGTGGTGTCACGTGGTTGCATTTTGGGCACTAGGCAAATGGCCCCATTTATTGCCATATGCAACACATGTTCATGTGACTGCAATTTATATTTCTGAGTTTTGGCAAAATCCATAATAAAATGCAGTCACATGACCATGAGGCACTGCAAATGGCCATAAATGGGGACACTTGCCCAGTGCCCAAAATACAGTGGTGTGATCACCTCTGTGATCAGACATCAGGGTGACATTTGTAACCTTGGGACGGTGTCGTATGTACAGGGCGGGGGTATGTCGCAACTTCAAACAGTCGCTAAATGAACTCTCATAACTCAAAAATTACCTGTATTGTGATTATTTAAAAAAAAAGACTCCTGAGATTGGGGAGTACTATAGTTAAACACAGATATGGTTTCTAGGGACAGGGCACTCACCAAATGTTTCTGCACAGGATATATATATATATATACATGTATGTATGTATGTTTGTTTGTATGTATGTATGTATGAATCACAGACACCATGATGAAGAACTGAACGTTTCCTTCCACTGACCAGGATTGTCTAGCCCTTCATATGGATTATTCTTACACTATGGTAATTTGCACATGTAATTATTTTCTAATAGTAGACTTTATGACAACTACTTCAAGCTATTAGAAGTTGAATTAAAATACATTATAAAGCTGTAGATTAATCATTTTTTATTATTTCTATTGTGGCTATTCCTTGTTTCAAAATAAATACCACAATTTCTAATGGCTGTGATATGAACAATCAGATATCCAGCCTAGGAACTATATCACAACTTAAGATAAAGTATGTATCATACTTACCCCCAAGAGATTTTTAGGCACATAGCCTTCCTTGTCATTGAGCCGAGCCCACCACCAGTCTGTCTCACTGTCATCTTTGCGCCGCAAAATTGTAAGCGCATCTCCTTCATGAAATGATAACTCATCATTGTTCTGCGCTTCATAATCCCACAGTGCATAAACTATGCCTTTGTTCATGACTCCTAACTTCTCCTGTACACCTGTTAATAAATGTTTTAACCAAAATGAACTATTTTAAAACTGGAAATGGTATAATTTCAATTATGAAATTAAAATTTATTTAATTATAATTTATATAATTATAAAACATAAAAATCCCTTTTCTTCTGACCAGTAGTAATAAAGATGTAAAGGTTATGAACTTTGCATAATTATAATCAATCCCTACTTCATTGCTTCATCAGTAAAAATATCAGCTGCATTATTCATTTATTCATTTATTTGACTTTAATAAACCCCCAACTTCAATGGATTATGGGTGGTGTACAAACTCCAATGGACTTTGGGCAGTGAAAAAAATAAACAAAAACCATTTTTAAAAATTATCTTACTTCCTTTGCCCCTCAAGAAGACAAAGTTTAATGAAGGGGTCCTGGAACACAATTACTCTGCTGAAATATCCTAATAGTGCCGAAATGGAGACAAGCATTCCTTCAGATATCTACACCCTATGCCATATTTTGAACCAGCTGTAATTTCCAGGTGATCTTCAGGCACAGCCCCATGATAATTACATTGCAACAATCAATTTGTGAGGTGATCCATGCATGAGTAACTATTGGAAGGGCCTGCCAAGGAAGGTAGGTGTCATTGGAGTTGGGTTTTTCTGGAACGCTGACAGAAGGAGTGCAATGAGCACACAAGATGGACCTGTGCAATAGCCCTGGCCAGAGCTGCCACTTGCTACTTGAACAGTACTTGCAATTTTAGAACGACTGTAATGCAGCTCCATCCAAGGCCAGTAGCAATAGCACTTATACCGCTTTACAGCCCTCTAACCGGTTTACAGTGTCAGCATATTGCCCCCAAACAATTTAAACCCTCTCCCATACTGGCATACTTGCATACACATTTTCTTTGAGAGAAATGAGTCCTGGCTATCCACTGGCTATACTATGTAAAGCTGATAGTTTAAAGTGGCAGATACTGGAATCTTAAAAAGCTGTCAAAGTACTGAGCAAAGAAGGAGGAGCTATTATGCCTATCGACTGTTAAAGTGGCCAATCTAAACGAAAGCTTTCCTCATCTGAGCAATATTAAGAGGATTGTACTGCAATCTTAACATCTGAAGGGCACCAGATTGGGACAGATGGCAAGTGAACTTAGGTTTTCCATCTCTCAATTTAACACAAATTCAGATAAGAAAAATACCGTTCAAAAAATTATGTCTGTGTGCAAATATTGAAAAATATTTTTGTAATTAAGTATTACAGGTCAAGATAAAAATTGGTGAGTTTAAGACTTGTGGACTTCAACTCCCAGAACTCCTGAGCTAACATGACTGGAGGAGGAATTCTGGGAGTTGAGGTCCACAAGTCTTAAAGCTGTCACATTTGAAGACCCCTGTTATAGATCTTGAAATGAGTTGAGAAGAGACATTATTTAAGCTATGAATCTTCCAATTCTACAGGGAAACATGAAACCTACCATATAGGAACTGGGAACACTGAATATATCCTTCTTCC